CATCACAGGTTCAGGGCCAAGACATTTTATTCTATAAAATGTTGCAACTACATTCATGACTTCATAACAAAAGGACTGTATTGAGCAGTTATGCTTCTGAAGCATTTTATACTAGGTATAGCAAATAAATCCCAGCATATCACCATGTGTACATATGCTATAGTAAAAGATAAACTGAAATGATCCCTGAAAACTCCTTCATACAGCTGCATATCCTAAGCCTGCTGCTTTATTTGCAGAAGCAGCTATTTCCGCACAGCATATCAAAACTTCATACTTCAGTTAAGGAGACCAGAATTTCTGAGGTAATAAGGTGTGAGGAAATATAATTTAACATTTTATCCTCATATATTGTCCCCTATTTGGAGGCTGAGATGCAAGCTTCACAGATACATAACAGATAATATGATGTGCCTGGATGGTGAGGCCATGAACCATAGGGATGGAATGTATACCTAAATGTCCTATCAAGAAAGTCCCACTTTAAGTCCCAGATTTCAGAGAGAAATCTGCTCAACTGTCTCCCACTGAAATCAATGGGACTAAAAATGCTTATCTTTGAATTATGGCCAATCATCCTTATTTGCTGGCTTGCAATATGTAGTTTAAGCAGAGGCAGCTTTTGCCACTTTTTAAAATAACCTATACAAATCACTTCAATTCAGGCAGAACCTGTAGGAGTTAGCAACAGCACAATCTGATACATGTCTACTCAAAAGCAAGCTCCAAGCGAGTATAGGATTGCAACCCAAGTTGTCTTTAATATTTAGCTGAAACGGTAACATCACAAAGCAGTTATGGCATGGCTTATTATATCATGCTGCAATCTTATTTATGCACACTTATCTGGAAGCGAGCTCCATCACACTCAATGGGATTTAGTTCTCAGGAAACCTGATGATGGTGAACTGTTGGTCAACCAATGGCAAAGCAACCAAAATAAATGTTTTAGATGGCCAAGAAGACCTAAAATTGACAGCTGCTCCCACTACTCTGCACAAGCCATTGCGCCTTAAATTCAAAATTATGACACAAGAGAATTTTACGAAAACAGATTTCACATAGTTCCCCCTCACCATTTTTTATTTTACAAAATGCAGCACCAACATTCATGGAAGACTTATGGGAAAAGGCTTCCTTTCTCCTCCGAAGCCTTTTATACTAAGAATTCTTCTCTCGTAAGCTATCTACCTTCCTTCCCACGAAGGGGTGTATGAAGTTACCTGTGTTTTTTCTCTGGCACAGTGAAAGGCAGTTCTGGAGCGGGAGCAATTTCTAGCCAAAAAAAAGAGCCATTAGGAGAAAGGTTTAAGATGCCTCCAGCTCTGGTCTTCTTCCATGGAGGACTGCTGCTTCATTTTGTAGGAGGGGGGAAAAAGTCCAGGAAAAGCTGCATGTGATTTAGTGCCATGCATATTTTGGCCCCCGGCTCCCAGAGAAACTAGATACACTTAACATCAACACGGAGGCTGAAATAAACAATGGTTAAGAGGCATCAATGTGGGCATCTCATTGTACAGCCTGTACATTTTAAGACCAATGCTGCCAGTCCCTTCTCAGCTCCAGCACGCCTACACTTCATCTATTATTTTGCAGCCCTCCCACACTTATTTGCTTTGCCCATTGCTGGCTGTTATCGCAAGCACACAAAAAAAGAACAAGAAGAAAAATAAATGTCCTCCAGCCATTTAGCTACAGGACCCTCCAAATCACAGAAGATGAGGGACAGGCACTAGTCGAGGTATGAAGTATTATGGGTGGTTTTGGCTCCACAACCAGATGTGCCTATAAAAAGGTTGTGTTGATTTGACCTTTTGTATTATTCACTACAGCTCTGTACATACTAGCAGAGAACCTTTGGGGAACTAGAACAAAAATACCCTAAAATAATAGTTAATATAGTAAGTTTTACAGGAAGTATGTTTCAGCAGGCTTACTGCAGTAGGCGTTCCATTGAGAAGAAAATGAACTAAAAAGGGAGTGACTCATTCATACAATGTACTTCAGAGAATACTGCACAAAAGGGATTTGGGAGGAAAGGGTTCTAAAGCAATGGGTAGATACTTAAGAGTTTGCCTGGAAATCCAATCCCTTACATTAAGTGAAAGTTTTCCCACAGGCAAGAGCAAAGAGTTCAAACCTATTTCAAAGGGCTCTGATCCCATCACCCAAACAAACCAGTATGCTCTTTCTTCATTTTCTGCTATGATACATATTTTGTCAAATATATTCAGTACCTATGAGATAGTTACAATTTGTGCCGTCAAGCCTGCAAAAGGAACAATGTGCTAAAACTGCATTAGAGTAGGTCAAGAGATGGAAGGAATTGGAAAATGTAGTTTCTGTCTATCACAGAAACAGCCTACATTTTATAAGCAACCATAATAAGGCAAGCAAGTTTTGGCCTTGATTACTGACCTATGACCTCAACTTTAATGAAGAAACTGGCCAAATAATATTAACTCTTTGTGCAATATTTTGCCCAACAAACTTGGCTGGCACTCATACACTACCCTCCATGTCAGAATCAGAATACTTGTCATCCCCTAAGATAAGAGGATATAAACAAAAATACAGAAAAGTAGTACCTGCTTTCATTCTACATCATCGTAACTGCATAGCTGTACTCTAAAGAGGCGTAACAAAAATCCACTGGTGTGTAATAAAGGTACTTTGAAGATACTATCATTTACAGAAGCATATAAGTGGCAGCCATTCATGGTTATGAAACAGCATTTAAAGTTCTGAAGTAGCAGCGTCCCTAGCCAACACTGAGACTGAAGCCATAGAACAAAATGACCACAAAATTCTTCCAGAGGGGAATCCTGAGTAGATAAAGTGGCTGCTGAAGCTTGAAGTTACAGATTAGACAGACCAGAAATTCACATATCCTTTTAAGCTTAACATTATATATATATATATATATATATGAATAAAATCGCAATTTCTGCAGACAGTATCAGACAAGAGAGTAACACAAAGTATAAAATATTGGTTATTTTTTAATAATTGCAGTTTTGGTGTTTAAAGGAGAAAACATTGATGATCCTATGCCAAATGGAGCCTCACATTTTGCTTCAGTAACACATAAATCTTTGTGAAGCACACTTTTGTGGCTTACAGTATCATTTACCAGTGAATGTGAAAACAAATATGATTTTTTTCTAACCCAAATCCCGTATTGTTATTATTATTATTATTATTTAAAAGCCATATGGTGCAAGTATTTCTAATCATTCGTGTTTTCACTCTGAAACTTGCAGTTGACTTTGCCTGAAATCTATACACATTTACCTGGGAGTAAGTACCACTGAACATTACTTTCTTATAGGTAAAAAAGGGTAAAGGTAAAGGACCCCTGGATGGTTAAGTCCAGTCAGAGGCAACAACGGGGTGCAGCAGTCATCTCGCTTTTCAAGCCAAGGGACAGCTTTGCGGGTCATGTGGCCAACACGATTACACTGCTTCTGGAGCAACGGAACACTGTGATGAATGCCAGGGCACATGGAAATACCATTTACCTTTCCACCACAGCGGTACCTATTTATCTATTTGCACTAGTATGCTTTTGAATGGGTAGGTTGGCAGAAGCTGGGACAGAGCAACAAGAGCTCACCACCACTGTGTGGATTCGAACCACCAAACTTCTGATCGGCAAGCCCAAGAAGCTCAGTGGTTTAGACCACAGCCACCCGCATCCCAAGACTTTCTTATAAGCAGGCATGCACAGGATTTCATTATTAAGAACAATAAACAAGCTGCACAATTCTGAATTGTCATAGTTCTCAGAAGTCTCAACGGAACCTGTAGCATCAAATGCAACATACAACAAAATAATAATAATCAAAAATTCATATGGGAACGTATTAAGAAATAGATTTTCTTATCTGTGTATAGTTAGAGATGGTATGTTAATACACAGATTAACACAGGACTTTTCAGTGTGTGTGTGTGTGTGTGTGTGTGTGTGTGTGTTTAATGTTCAAAAGCCTTTTGGAAGCCCATCTATGCCACATCTACCTCATTAAAGACCAACACAAAGTTTGTTCAGCTTCACTGCAAGCTCCCTCTTTCTTCAGAAATCCTTTCACACTTTTCTTTTTTGTCTCATCTCGTTTGCCAGCTGAAGGCTTATGGATCTTGTAAGAACCTGGAATGCTGGGCGGGGGGGGGGGGGAGTCCAAACTGGATTACATTATATATGGAGGTGTCAGAATCAATTGTTGAAAAGTTCTTCAAGGAATATGCCCTGGTCATCCTCAAGGATGTAGATAGGGTTCTGTGAGATCCACCAAAGGTAATGTGGAGCCTGGCCATCTCTGGTGGTGAAGGTCAGCAAGGAAGAACTTGGTGAGCCACAAAAATTAATGCCTCTCTTGATGAGCATAGGATTCCTCCTGTACTAATAGGTGATGATCTGCCCACTTTTTAAAACTTTAGACGGAGATAGCCTGGCCAGGTTTAAGTTCACATACAACATTTCTTTTGGGGGAAAAAAGTTGTGCAACATGTGGTGGCTGAACAGCTATAGGAATTCCTGGATTTAAAAATCCTTCCTTGATCTTTGTCCATCTGGCTTCCAACCTGGATATGGGATGGACACAGTTTTGACAGCTCTGGTAGATCTCTATTCTGAAATATACATGGGAAATGTTTCCCTATTGATCTTGCTCACCCTTTCTATGACTTCTATGTTGGACTTTCTGACAACTTTTAACTTGCATCTCACGCTAGATCCTGTGGCCTTCCCTCCAGTCAGCTTCATATAGAAATAGAGAAGTACTGTATTATCTTATCACGATCATTATCATTATCAACAACAACATTGTTGTAGTAAGCAAAATACATTCAAGTCAATCACAAATCAGTTCAGTACAATAGAGAATCTTCAAGGACATAAATTTCAGAACAATTTCATCTATAATTTACTCTAGCTGTAAAATAAAGCCTGCAATTCTTTATTATTATTCAATCTACTTTGAAAAGAAATTTCAACTTACCTGTCCTTTACGTGGTGCTAAAAAAATTAACAACTTCCTCAACCATAACTGGTATATGCCGTTGTTGATAGTCTTCATTGTCTGCTCCGCCATTTAAGTATTCATCACCATGCAAATGCAATTTTTCTTCAGTTTCACATTTACGGGTTAATGAAGAGTGTATAGTTTTTACCCATGTACCTAAGCAATTTGGGCTTGATCTAACTAAACTGTGAAAAGGAAATCGGTTGCAGGTCTTGCATAAATACAGCAGCTGGTGCATATTGCAGGTAAGTTTGATTGAAGGGCAGGGTATAAAAATAATAAAACAAAGAAGCCAACCTGGGGGGAAAACATATTAGAAGTCAAAAATTAACATTTTTAAAATGGCTTGTATTAAAAGAAGAACTGTATAAAAGCAATAGGAATTTGTTTTACTAATCAGCACAAAAAGATTTCAGTGCCAGTAAATGTTGCAAGATGCTATTTAACATATGCCACTAATGATGCTATTTGGCCAACTCTAGTACTTGCAAGTACTCCACTAGCATAACTTTACAACCTGAGCATCTGTTACAAATTCAACTGTTCTCAATCACAGATCTATTCAAATATAAACCATATTGACATATATGCCTCGTTGAACACAGTGTAGATTGGGGACACCCAAACTGCTCCTAGTTCAAAAAGATTCAACCATAATTGGGTCAGTATTGAGCAGTAGCCAGAACACGATGCTTGGATAACAGAACCCTGCTTCGCAGTCTGATTCAGTCATGAAGTTCACTGACTTGCTCTGGGAAAATCACTGTCTCTTAGTCTATATTCCATCTCAGAGTTGGTGTTAGCAAAAATGAGCTAAGAATTTACTCTGCAAAATACTATTAAGTATATAATACCTTTCCAGGATGAAGCTTATAACTAGAAGGCAGACATTATCATGGAGAAAAATATGGAGCATATCCTATGTTTGCAATCTCATAGCATTGCCTGTGTGCTACATGAACATTTCATTGTACATTCTTGTTCTCAATCTACATCATGGTAGCAATACATGAATGTTCTTTTAGAAATGGGAGTCTTTATGCAGCTTGAGAATATGAACTGTCTGCTTCAACATTTGAAACCTACTACAGTCGTTCTTGAACGGAATCCATTCTGGAAGTCCGTTCGACATTCGAAAACAAAGCCATGGCTTCTGATTGGCTGCAGGAGCTTCTTGCACTCAAGTGGAAGCCGTGTCGGGCTTTTGGGTTCCAAAGAACATTCGCAAACCAGAACACTCACTTCTGGGTTTGTGGCATTTGGGAGCCAAAACGTTCGAGTCACAAGGCGTTCGAGAACCAAGGTATGACTGTACCTGGCCTGCTGATCTATGCAACATCTTAAATGGGTTTATTAGGGGGCTATGCTTCAGGTGATGAGATGCCGCCCTGAGACCTCCGGGTATAGGGCAGTATATAAATTCAAATAATAATAATATAATAATAATAATAATGCCCTCTGAATTGCAGTTTTTGTTTGTTTTTTAAAGGCATATTTGCCTCAGAGGAATCTATCCTAATCTGGTGGATTTGAGCAATACTGCCCACTGTAAAACATGCCACTTTGGGGAAAAGTTTTAGAGTGGGTAGTAGCAGCTCAACTCAGGATGATGCTGATTATTCCAGGCTGGTTTCAACCTAATTTCAGGACCTTGTTCACCCTGATAATGACATGCACCAGGAGGATGAAACACAATCCTATTGATTATCTTGTGTTTTTCAATACAATCAGTTGTGATACTTTTCTGGGCCACGTCGTTAGCCTCCCATTCGTCATCTCCCTCCATGTCTTTCTCCAGAATCTGCCACCCCAGGTCTGACACTGAAAGCGCCAAGGGACTCATGACAACTGCTGTCCAATACCATGCCTTCCGATTATATTGTCATCCATGTTATTTCACTTTGACATCATTCTACTGGGAAAGATCATCCATTCAGTACACTGAAAATACTCAACTTTATCTCTTGCTTCAACCAGCCAACCCCAGGGATACTATGGAAACCCTGAATCAGTGTCTAGGAACAGTTCTAGTGTAGATGCAGGTGAAAATCCAGTGACTAGAAGTTTTGTGGATATGGACATAGATATGCAATCTGTTTTGGATGGAGTTAACCAGACCCAGGCCAGACCCAGCAGGCTCTTCTTATGTACTTAAGAATCAAGTATAAAGTCCTACTGGATCCAACATTATCACTGAATGGCCAGGTTACATAAGTAACTATGAACACTTTTACCAGCTTCAGATGGTTCACCAGCTACAACCCAGCTAGCCTCAGTCATTCATGCACTAATTAGATCTAGGCTGGACTATATAGTGCTGTCTACACAAAGCTGCCTTTAAACGCAGTTTGGAAACTAACTGGTGAAAAATGAGACTGCCAAAATGTTTGTAGGAGGAGGATTATGAGTAACAGTTTGCAATTTGTTTCCAGACTCAATTTAAAGTGCTGGTGTCAAACTCTAAAGTGTTAAATGATCTAGTACCAGGTTATCTGAAGGGCCACGTCCATCCATATTAAACTAACTGAGCCCTAAGATCAGCATCTGCAGTCCTCTGCTTTCTGCTCCCCCCCACCCCAATTAATAAAGATTACATTGGCAGGGTCTTCCAAATGCGCAACTGCCTTCCTAGGCAGCTACATCTTTCGACTCTTTCTCATCACAAGCAATCTTTGGAAGGTTTTTTTTAATTGTACAAGGATTTTTCTGAGTATCTTTTTTTTTTGCTTTTGCAATGTTGTTTGGTGGTTTTGTTACTGTTTCTGTTGTTTTTATTCTGTGAGCCACCTTAGAGAGAAATATTTTTAAAGGCAGTATATCAACAATTAGAATAAATAATGGGCTTAAATTGACTGAATTGTTGGATTGCAGTCTACAGCTTCCCCGACAGTAAAACCCTCAAGGGAACACAAGAGTGTGCAAGAATACAGAAGCTGAATGGAAAAAGAACAAATGTCTGTTGAAAATGTTAAAATAAGGAGGTAGCAAGAAAAGTGCAGGAATAGCTACAAGGAACCTATGGAGATCAGGCACACTAATAGAGGGCTGCTGAAAAGAGAATGGCATGACAGCCCAGTGACTGCTGAAGAGGCCTTGGGGAAAACGGGTGGATTGTCCACATTTCTGCTGCAGGTGCAAGGAAATAATTTCCTTCCAGTTCTCCAATACATTTGTCACAGCAGTGTCAGACCTCATAGCATCTCTTGTATCCTTCTTCTTTGCAGCTTGCAAGGATTTTCCCCTCAGCGGCTATCCCGCTATCCGGAAGCACAATTCAATACAATGCTGACTGCTATGAGATCATAGAATGCAGGGCAAAATGAGTTCCATTAAGTTTAGTAGAGCATACTCTCAAGTATGTATACACGACTGCAGTCTTAGAATCAAAATATATACAGTGGTACCTCTGGTTACAAATGCTTCTGGTTATGAACACTTCAGGTTACGAGCTCTGCTAACCTGGAAGTAGCTGCTCCTGGTTGCGAACTTTGCCCCAGGATGCAAACAGGAGGCGTGTGCGCACAGCGGGAAGCCCCATTAGTGAAAGCACGCCTCAGGATAAGAACGGTTTCAGCTTAAGAACGGACCTCCAGAACGAATTAAGTTCGTAACCAGAGGTACCACTGTAGTTGGGAAAAGCTGGAGGTCAGGCAGTATATTATAACTGGAATACAGCAGGTTCCTTCCTTTTGAACAGAGGTCTTTACACTTGAAAAAATGTTTTGAGGCTTACAGAAGTATAACTCTGACAATACATGCAAATAAGCTGGAATCCCACAGAACAGCAGTGATGAAATCAACTCACATAAAGCTTGGACAATATCTGTGTTGATAAATTCGTATCATAGGGCTGTGCTATTATGCACTCTGTGTGAGGCTTCTCTTAAGGAAGGTCTGGAAACTGTAGTTAATGCAGAAGTTGGGTTGCTGAGTGATGCAGCCAACCATATGAATGTTACACCTTTGCTCAAACAACTGCACCGATTGCCAATATTTAGAAGAGTCAGCTTATGTCTTTAGGATTAAGGCTGGTTGTTTCTCTGAGCTCTCTGGAAGCTTGCTTGTGTGTTTGTATGTTTGGTCATGTACCAGGGTACTGTGGGAGGCTGAAGGAGGAAGTGAGATGGAGAACACAAGCTCACATCTATTTGGAGAAAATATAGTATTGTGGGGCACATAGCAAGAAGATGTAGATTGGAGAATTATATTATGCCTTTGGACAAGGAGTCTGAGAACAGGATGCAGACATCCAGGGTGCATACAGAAAAAGCTCCGGAAGCATCATCTACAGCAGGGGTCAGCAACCTAAGGCCCATGGGCCAGAAGTGACCTGCGGAGGTCGTTTGACCGGCCCATGAGCCGCCCCTGAACTGAGCTGCCCGCTCACATGCTGTGCTAAACCGGCGTGGCGCAGGGACTCGCTTCTGTGGCACCGGAAATTGTGTCTGCGCAGACGCCGGAAATCGCAGGCTCCCATGCACGTGCAATCCGGCCCACAGAGGGATCTCTGCAGGACCAGTCAGGCCCAGATAAACCTTACTGACCCCTGATCAACAGCTTCCAGGCTTTCCAAACCTGCTCTCTGAAGTATCAGGTGTGCATACCCTAATGGAAGCTCATCACCAGTAGGCTACTTAGCTCAGAAGAAAAGAGATGCTAACAAAACACTGCAGGCAGAGATAACACACTTGAAGGACCTGGCACAGAATCTCTAGCACAGGTTGATAAAAGTATCCTTTGGGGACTAGTTCACTTTGTCTATACCTGCAGCCAATGAGGAAAAGTCCTTGGCATCAAAGAGTAGCACAGAAGCAAGGATGACAAATATAGGGAGCATGAACAATTAAGGAGTGTGAGAGCCCTCCAAATGAAAGTGACATCAGGCTGAATTCTAACTGAACAATGCTTCTGAACTTTATTTGAGGATAAACACTGAAATGTGGCTAACCTTGAGTCAGAACCAGATCTGAATCCAACAAGGGGGTAGTAGTATGTAATGCAAGCTCCTATTGTCAGAGAAAACAGTGAAAGCAGTCTCCTCTGTACCAGGGTAAACATATCCAACTTCATCAACAATTCCTTATAAGGCTTGGTTTTCAGACCCTTGATCATCTTGGTCACCCTCTCTGCACACATTCCAGCTTGTCAATATCCTTCTTAAATTGTGGCGCCCAGAATTGAACACAGAATTCTAGGTGTGGTCTGACCAAGGCATAATAAAGTGGTACTATTAATACCCCTGGTTGTGATACTTCTGTTGATGCAGCCTAGAATAGCCTTAGGGTTTTTTGGTGCTGCATCACTGTTGACTCTTGTTAAGCTCGTGGTCCACTAAGACCCCTAGATTCTTTTCACATATACTACTGGCAATGTTTTATTAGCGCAGCTGGTTCTTCCTGCCTAAGTGCAGAACCTTACATATGTCCCTAGTGAAATTCATTTTGTTAGGTTTGGCCCAGTTTTCCAATCTATTATGGCCATCTTGAATCCTGATTTTGTCTTCTGTGGCATTGGCTAACCCTACCAGTTTGGTGTCATCAGCAAATTTGATGAGCGTGTCCTCAATTCCTTCATCCAAGTCATTTATAAAGATGTTGAACAACAACAGACCCAGGACAGAACACTGCAGAACTCCACTTAGCACTTTTTTGCAGGATGACGAGGAACCACTAATGAGCATTCTCTGGGTTCGGTCAACCAACTACAAATCCACCTAACAGTTACCTCATACAGCCTACGTTTTACCAGCTTCTGCACAATACCATGGGAGACTTTGTCAAAAGTCTTACTGAAGTCAAGATACACTACGTCTACAGCATTCTTCTGATCCACCAAGCTTCTAACTATCAAAAAATGAAATGAGATTTGTTGGGCACACAGATTGTTTGAAAACAGCAAGTGGGAAAATTTGGGTTTTGAAAAACTGAGTTTTACTTAAGGGGCAGAACAGAAAAAGAAGAAAGTGGACAGACAAGACATCAGAAATAAGTGGAAAAATAAATTCAAAACAACAGGAAATGACAGACTGAGAGAACTATCACAATCTGCTATTTGACTAGCAAATGTTAACTGGCACCATACCATGTATTCAACTGGTTAGGACTGGGTTATATTTAAGTATGGGTGTATGGGAATTATTCAATAATTATTAGTTGTTTGCGCTACTTGTCACAAGAGTTGATTGTGTTAACCTTTTTTAACCCACAGTGTAAATGTTTTTTTTTCATATTCATTCTACTCAAGATGGACTACCAACCTGCTTTACCTCACACATAGTTGAGAACGGTGTGTATTAACACTTAAGAAATGCCACACAATGCATAAAAAGCTAGCGCAAACAGGGGGCAACTGGGGGAGCGAGTGCTTCATTCTCGCCTCAAGAGCCATGTTGGCACAATCATTCGTTCTTCTACACCTCGCGTTATTTTTAAAGGAGCGTTTAATGTCGCGACCTCTCTTCGCAGGCTCCAGACAAGGAGTCATTCGCTTACACGTGGAGGGGGGTACATGTCCGACGTTACTCATTGCAAGAGGTGGAGGGAGAGTGGGGACGAGGAGGAATGTCTGACCACCACCTCTATTACCTTAGCAACGGGTGAGCTCCCTTGTGGGTGGGAGAGACACGGAAGGTGGGGGTCCACTGTGGACCTAGGAAGGGGGGGGGGACAAGGCTTCCGAAGTGTGCGCATCCGGAGAACAGCACGAGCCTTCCCCTCCCTCGCAGCTCGCCTCTCCACCCCCGTCCCGGCACCTGGGGACACTCGCTCTGCGGCGGAACCGTGCTACTCACAGCGCTCGACGAGGCCGCTGCCCCCCACGCTCCTCCTCGCACAGCCTACAGCGCCAGGAGCGCTGCCAAAAGGCTTCCTCCCTGCAACAAGGCGCTGCGGGTTTCAGTTCCGCCTTCAGAGCCCGCTCCTCCTTTGCAGCAACGCGGTGAGAGGGCTACGCAGGGCTTCTCCCATCCCACCCACTTCCTTCTCCCCACCCCCCACAAATACGGGACTGGGCACCCGCCCCCCTCTCGAAAGCTGCTCGATCATTGCCTGCCTGCAGTGCCTTCATTTCAAGCGGGCTCGGGGGTTGCAAGGCGGCGGTCGTGTGCACAGCGCGCACGGATTCGGAATCGGCCTCGATGAACGCGGCGGGGCTGACTCAACAAATGCACTGCAGGGATGCGCAGGTTCTCCAGCGAGACTGGCGGGATTTCCACCGCCCCCTCCATTATCTCTACGCAGACTTTTCCCTGCCTCTTTCCACAAAGCCCCGTATTTCCTTTCCTCCCGGTGGACATCCCCGCTTTTTGCAATACGGTTGTCAGACCCAAAGCAAAATAATTAAGACGCCATCAGCAGAACCGCGGCTATCTTTTTATGAGACATCAATTAGGGATAAAGGGGCAGGTTTGTTCCAAGGGATGCTGCGGTGCGACAATACTTCGATGCGTGTCTTGTTACGTAGTAAGAGGTAACCCGTTTGCGATCAGGCTGGCCGCCACATAACCTCCCGCAGCCCCTATAATCCTAACAGAGACCGTTTCCCCAACGGAGTTGCTATAGGATATGCGGTGCTCCGTCTTCACCTGCTTGCATTAACATACGTCGTTCTCTACCACACACATCTGTTGCAATCCGCAAACCTTAAGCCACCAGCAGACACTCTCATCAAATGCTCTATTTTAAGAACATCTTAAAAGCATCTTCCCGAAGGCGCACAGGTTCCTCTTGACGTCTGCCAGTAGAACATCCCGCCCAGAACGGGCGCTCGTTTTTCATTCAGTATTTGTACAGCTACGCGCACGAGCACAGCTACAAACAAATCTCTCGTGTGAATTACTGTTTTCTCATTTCACATTTAACAAGCACCCACAACTCCTCAGAGTAACTGCAATTTATGGAACGAACTAAGGAATCGCGAGGTTCACTTTTCTTGATCCCATTCAGTGCTTCAGCGGCAAAACTCATTTCTCGAACCAGCTCACAGCGCACCAGTTTGAGAAAGGCTGGCGTATGTCTTTCTAGTCTAAAACAGTATCGCCCGCCCCGCATAAAAGCAGCTGGGGGGTGGTGGTGTCAGTTTCCAGCCAGCTGAGCTGGAAAAAGTTAAACCCTTCCCTGAGCATTCCTTAACTCCCAATCTCAGGCTCCTAGTTTTGCTTTTTAGTTAAAAAAAACCTTTCGAGCGAACTGTTGGTGTCTCCTGTCCAATTTACCCCTCACTCCGCACTGCAATTGCAGCCATACAACCTCAAGGACGTGCGCTTTTAAAGACTTTCACAGAAACTTTGCGCGCTGGGCTCAAGTGCTCGCGCACCTAAAAAGACGCGTGTACGGTTAATCTCTGTGGCGTTGAGAGCTATTTCATCTCATGGCTGAAATAAAATTTAAATTCAAGTCACTCGCTTGTGCTAGAAGAGGCACAACCCGTCCGCGTGGGGGGAAATCATTTCTATTGAGCTTACTTTTGAGTCACTGCGTAACTGTTTAGGATAGCGCTGTAAAATCAGCGATTGAACCAATTAAAGCCAAGTTCATGTCTTAAGATGACCGCCGACTACTACGCGACAGCTTATTTCTATTCGAAACTTGAACTGGGACGACGAAATGCTGCTCCACGGAACTTTCGCTGTTGCTTTATTCCTGCAAAATGCAACCTCCCTGCTTGTTTGTGCTCATCAATTCCTGCAAAGAAACTATCCCTTTCTTATCGTCCCAGTTCGGCACAGAAACAGTCGAACCCCGACTTTCCCCTGCTTTGAATACGCGTCTCTCCCCTCCAACCCGCTCGCGCGAGTCCCGCCCTCCATTCATTCGCTCACTGACAATATCCGCCCCCCTTATTTCCATGCGCGCCACCAAACCGAGCAGAACGTCCACAATCCCAGCATTACGCCCTCGCTTAGGAGACGGCTGAAGGCGGAGGGATGGATCCTCCTTTGGACCAAAATACATCCGACGGCGCGTCGTAAGCGTGGCGGCTCTTATGACGTTATGCGGCCCTCAACCAATCAGAAGCCGTGGAACGAGAGGCTGCTTGGGTTTGAATTTGGTGGCTCGCTGAAGCTAGCGAGCGAGCGTGGAGGCGGCGGCGGTGGCGACGCCCGAAGAAGCGGCGCGGGCTGCTGATCAGCAAGGAGGGTCCCTAATGCCCGGGTGAGTATCTCCATTTACGCCTACTAGGGTGTCTAGCTCGGCTCAGCTGAAAGAGGGTCCCGATCAGCTCGCTGCATTAGCGAGGGTGGCCCATGGCTGCTTACACTTTCCGGCGGAGTTTTGCGCTCTTGTGCTTGCCTTTCTTTTTGCAGCGCAACCGCATAGGAGGGTCGCTGCTTATTAGCCGCGCGACTTTATTCCATTCGTTCGCCCAGGTCCCTGCAGGGACTTTATAGTACCGTATCGAAAGAAAGTTAAGATGGATCGGGAAGTTCTCCGCCCCAAATTGCCTTTTAAGTCTACACCCCTGCGCACGGTTGGATGGAAATTCTGGCTGGCTTCGAGTTAGAATGTGGTTAGGATCCGGCGTATTTATTAGGGAGCGGGGGTACGGTCTTCTGCATACTTACCCGGTATGAAGTCCCGTTGAAATCAGTGGGCACGGCTTCCAAGCTGACATTTATAGGACTACGCTGTGAAAGATAGCATTGGTGAATGCATATCTATGCCGCGCGGTTGGTGGCAACATTGAACCAATAGCATCCCATGGAAACGGCGTAAAGAGTTTTGTAAACACCTTCAAGACTGGTCGCCTCCAGATGACCTGTTGCTGAGCATGCGTCCTGATTAGTTTGCCCTTTCGTGAGTCTTAGCCCTTGAGATCATCTCTGCAAATTTGGTGCAGTGAAAATGACCCTGGGGCTGGAGCAACTCTCCTATGAGGAAAGCTTGAAACTATGGGGTCTGAGGTTTAGGAAAAATGTGAGAGAGGTGTAGAAAGCTATGCATGAAATGAGTCATGACTCTAGAACCCAGGGCCATGTGGTGAAGCTTAACAATGGAATATAGAGAGGAGACAAAAGGAAAAACTCCATAGTTAAGTTGTGGAATTCACAAATGTAATATGCAGCAATGGTCAGCAATCTGAATGGCTTTTAAAGTGGTTTAGACAAATTTAATGGAAGGCAAGTCTATTAACCAGGATGACTACGCACTAGCTCCAGTATCGGAGGTGGTATGCCTCTGCATACCAGTTGCTGAGAATCACAAGTGGGACAGTGCTGTTGGGTTCATGTCCTTTTGGTCTTCCCATAGGCATCTGCTTGGCCGTCCAGAGAACAGGATACAGGACTAGGTGAGGCCCCTTAGGTTATCATGATAGTTACCCCACACTTACCAGAGCCATTTCCCATTACTTTTCTTACAGCATAAAGTCTGGTTTTGAAGAGTTAGAGCACCACTGTTCTTGTTTGTAACAATGTATTCACTTTATTGAGAGTGGTTTATGATAGTGAGAGAAAGCGCTGGCAGACTAGAAGCAACCTCCCACATATATTATGGGGATTTTTTGTGTGGATTAGCATCCACTTCATTATTTTCTAAGGTGCTACAAGACTCTAGAATCCATTAACATTCAATTGGCTGTATTTATGAGACCAAACATGGTTATTATCTTGTGCTGTATGGGAACATTTGGAGTAGCAAAGTGGAATACAAAGGACTTCCTCTCGACAAATGAGTTTATCAGACCTTATTCCTCTAACTAACTGCTGTTGGCATTGACAGAGTAATTATTGTATAGCGTGAGTGAAACCTGATGCATATGAATATGCTAACTGGAAAATGACAGTATGAGCAAGCACCAAGTCATGTCTTCTAGGTCATTATTAACTGTAAAGAAAGAACCAAGTTCTTAAACTAGATCTTATGGCAGTCTAGAAAATACATATTCTGAACCTGTGCACATTGAAATTTCTCTATGTGGTAGGAGAGTTTCTTTGAACTATGAGTTTGTAGTTTGTTTTGAATCATTTTGTTTCTTCAGGAGTTAAACTTGCAGATATTATTTTCTGTTAAGTTTGTTAGTCTTTCATAGTCTCATCTTCCCTCCACACAAGAGTATTTGCACTCTTCACACGTTAAGTTGAGAAACCCATTTTGGTAGAATTCTACTATATCTAAAATAGTTGCATGGGATCTGTGGTGGTCAGCTGGACAATTGGAGCAAACAAAGCAGCCTATTTTAATGGACTCCATTCATTGGCAAACAAATGGCAGGAGAATATTGAGTTACATCTAGGCTTGTGTAAACACTGCATACTGCATATAAGCTTTGCAGATCAACTGCTGCTTGTAAAACCAAAAATAGCACTTACAAAATTACATTTTGGTGGGTTTAATTGTACATCCCAGTATACATGGGACCAGTCGTGTGTCTTCTCACATGCATCTTTTTTGTCATTTGCATAAACCTTGTTGCATTTTCTTAAATTACTGCTTAAAAATATAACCGGTCAGTTTACATTTTTGGCCAGTCTAATTATCAACCCTAGACCTAACCTAAATTCATTTGCTTCCTTGGTTTAGCAGCACAATTATATGCATGTTTACTCAGAAGAGAAACTTACCTCATTCAGAGAAGTATACTCCCAGGTAAACAAGTATAGGAGTGCAAGTGTTGTTGTTTAATCTGCTTTCATTTTTTCCCACCAGCAGAAGAAACTGGATTTACTTTATATGACAAATCTTCCCCAGACACCATAACTGCCTTTCGTAATGTCTACTACTGTTCAAGAAGATGTCTGCAATCACGTGAAGGTAGTGGTCCGCGTTCGTCCAGAAAGTCAGAAAGAGAGAGATGGCAACTTCAGGAAAGTGCTCCAAGTTGTCGATAAGCATATGTTGGTCTTTGATCCCAAAGTGGAGGAAGTCAGTTTCTTTCATGGGAAAAAAGTTCCATGCCGTGATCTTAACAAGAGGCAAAACAAGGACCTCAAATTTGTGTTTGATGCTGTATTTGACGAAGATTCTTCTCAGCTGGAGGTCTTTGAAGACACTACCCTGACCATGCTGGATGGCTTTTTAAATGGATATAATTGCACAGGTAACTCTTCTGCATTTCTCCCTTTGTTAGTTATGGAAATAATCCTGTATCAGCAGTCAGTTCTAATTTGAGCCGGGGCGGGGGTGTCCTTCTGCCCCCTATTCTATTTATAAGCTTTAAGACTTTGTTGTTGCTATTTTCCAAGCTGTTGGGGACATTTGGTTTCTTGTCCTTTGCTTCACATGTAGTAACTCTCTCTTCCTGCAAATGAAAGCCAAAACCCCCTGCATCCCATTTGCAAAAAAAAAAAAAAAAGATATTGCAGTAGTGAAGAGCATGAAGAAGAGTTTCCCTCGCCATTACTTCCTGCTAGTTCTGATTCTAATGGTTACTTCTAGCTTTGGTACTGAGCAGTAGCAGTGTGTGTGGTGGAGCGGACCAACATTGGTGGCGCTGCTGCTTACCAGAACAGTCGCAATGTTGGGGGGAGGGGTTCATGGTTGCACCAGTGGTACCACCGCTGCCAATCCGGCACTCCTGTCAGTGCAAGCATACAGTCCTCCCAGCCTCATTCAGATAAGCAGCAGCAGAGCCATGATCAGAAGGCAGCTCTGTTGATCCTCCCCGTCACACTGCTGCTTCTGAGCGGTTGCTAGCTATCACAGTGGTACAGCGTTCTGCATCCATATTTCACTTTCACCTTCTCACAAGTCGAATGATAAGTTTATCGCCTTGGTTGAAGGGCTGCCATGTTGCTTCCTCTTTCCTCATCCCCCCCCACCCGAAATGAGCAAATCAGGTGAAGCCAGATTCTCCGGTTTTCAAACGTTGAGCTACTTAATGGATTCACTAATTAAACGTGCCCCTTCCTACACCCAATCTTGCTGTTTGTATCTCACACCTTCCTCCAAAGAAGCCCGTGGCAGCAAAGGTATCAACCCTAATGCAATCAAACTTCTAAAAACTGTGTAAAACAACCTTCTGAAAATGGCTGAAATATGCTAAAGGCAATCACCTGCTGTCAATTTAGTGCTTGCTTATGGTGCAACTGGAGCTGGGAAGACTCATACGATGCTGGGCTCCCAGGAAGACCCTGGAGTGATGTATCGGACCATGTTGGAGCTCTACAATGCCATAGAGCGGATGAAGGAGGAGAAGCATTGCGCTATTGCCGTTTCTTACCTTGAGGTAAGCAGGCGGAATAATTTTGCACAATAACAGTTGTTTTTCTATAAGGAATAGGGTGAAAGGGACCCAAACCAGCTTAGTCAGAGGCTGAGAAAACATTGTCTATCTTCCAGCCAAACATTCTGTCTTCCAGCCAGCATGAGAGATGCTCTCCTACGATGCAGTCCCATGTTTCTGAGGAGTACATACCAGTATTCCTGACTCATGGCATTACAGCACCAGATGAGCCAGTAGAATTGGAAAGGAAGTGTTTTGAATTCCTCCCTGACCTGATATTGGAGGATTTAAAACTGCTCCCCCGCTCTGATCTCAGGGAGCTTCTTGGGATTCGAGAAAGGAAACAAGCAAGCAAACCAACCAAGGGCTTTTCTCCCAGCTGCCAGAGAACAGAATACAACATAACTTCCCAGTAGCCAAGCCTAGGATTAGGTCTCATGACAGCATACACAATTGAGAGTTTTCTGCTTGTCTAGTTTCAAATGTATTGGTGCTTTCCTCCTGTCAAATTGTCACTCTGCCTCCTTTGTGCCGGAAAGTTAAAACGGCAATTTGGATATTTGGACAGAAAATTAGGACTCTTAACTGAGTTTAAAACTTAGGGATAAAACGTATCTGGAAGTGCATGCCATCTCGCATAGGTGCATTTTTCATCTTCTAAAATGAGACTACACCTACCAAATCCAGATACCTTCTGTATGATTAGCTGCTTACCTTTGTGTATCTTAATATCTGCCTTTTCCAATGCCTTTCCCTCCCAAGGTCTACAATGAGAAGATACATGATTTGCTTGTAAGTTCAGGACCACTGGCTGTTCGAGAAGATCCTCAAAAAGGAGTGCTGGTTCATGGGTTAACAATGCATCAGGTTTGCACGTATTTCTATTATCCATGTTATTCATTAATTGCTTATTTATTTATTTATTTGCCTGCTTGCAGTATTTACAGGCAGTCCTATAACACAGTTCTCAGAGTAGCTCACAAAGCAATTGAAATTCTATAACAAATTCTCAAAGCAGTTTTTGAGTCTTTAAGGCTTCACCTAAGAGGGAAATCGTAAGTTTGAGGTACCTAGTTTGTCACCTAAGTTGTTTTTCTTTAAGTTGCCAGAAAGTTGGCAGACGGGGAACGTGGGAAATATTTGCATTAAATCTCCCAATATTGTAAGGCTTTGTGTGAGTTAGGAGGTTATTTGTTTTGTTTTTACTTTCATAATATTCTGATTGATTCTCCCTGTTGACCAAATTTGTCTTGCCCACATCATGTTAAACCATAGCTTAGTATTACATGCATGCCAGTGTTACGAAGTTTGACCCAATATATAAGTGTGCCTGTCTGCAGCTTAGTTTCCAAAATTCCAATTTCCCCCCCTAAATCGGTTTTAACTGGGATACCTTGAAAAGTTTTCAGAGTCATTTCAACCCACTACAGGCACTATTCTATCAAAAGAAGCAGAACAGATCAGACTGCCCTCCCAAGCCATGATTCATATACTATGGACAAATCAAGTCCTTTACACGAATGCTATCTGTTCAATCCTATCCATCTTGATGTGAAGATTTACAAGCTTTATTTCTGGGAAGAAAACACAGTGCAAAACCATTACTTTATCAAGACACTTGAAATACTAGTGGGCCTCTCTAAGTGACCTGTTTGCGAAGGCAGTTGCTATGAAACAACTGTTTAAATCAAACGTGGTAGCAATCTTCAACCCCTTTATCTCAAAGTTGCGCTGTCAAAATTGAAACAGTTCTTTTGAGTAAAGTGGCTTGGGGGCTGAAGCATTTGATCAAACACAAAAACCGCTTCATCACAGTTGTAGCCTAACTCATATTCTTAATTTTTTACGTCTGCTACACATGCACATAATTTCTCCCAGACTGTTGTCTCATTTCTTCCTTATCATTTCTCCACTTTCCCCTCCTCCTCTATGCTATGTCTGTTTCTACTGTTGCCACCCATAGTGCACCTTGGCTTCTTCTTCGGTCAAGGCTTGGAGGGAAGCTGGCAGCGGGAGGGGGGGGGGAGAGAGAGCCTGCTTCCAGGCAATCTTCTTCTACCTATGCCATTGTTTCCATTTGTACAGCTATCAAAGGGCCAAAAATATCAGAAGCTGACGGGGGTGTATTTTTGCCTCCCTGTGGTGTATGGGAGAATTTTGGAGGGAACTGGGGCCACGGATGTGTGCACTTCGTGACCCTCAACGTATCCCCAGCTCAGCCCCCCCCCCAATTCACCCAGTCCAGGATTATTTTCATCTGTTTGGGTTAGGGTTGTAAAGTGGCTGGCCCCAAACAAGGATAATGGAGTCATGTTTGCCTCCACCTTCCCAGCTTGTACTTCAGCCTACTGGATAATTTTCTCTTCACATCAGATATTTGAAGGCTTTCTGGGAAGGCTGAACACGGAAGCAGACTGCCAAGAAAGCAAACCAAGATAGCCCTTGGAGATGATTGTGTGAGGACTATTCCCTATAACAAACATTGCCATTAATAGTCCAAGTCCATTTTCATAGGACTGCTCCTTTATAAATATTCCGTTCCTTCTGAAACAAATAGGGTATTAACCACATTTTTCTATATGTCAATTGGATATTGTATCTTATTTTTTAAATTTTAATGAATGTGTAAGTCTTACTGTGAGATCTACTTACTCAATGAATTGATTTGGGTTTATTTAATTCTGTGTTTGTGAATGCCTTTCCCTTCCTAACGGCTTTAAGATGAACTTTGCAGTGGCATCACCACCTACTCAAAGAATGTGCCTAGCACAACCTGACGGCTAGCGGTTTTGGAATAAGTAAAATGATGCCTTTTAGCTGACCCAACTTCTCGAGGCAACACTAAGGCACAAGTTAATCTTGAACATAATCTTCTTTGGGCAGGTGCTGAAGCTTATGCTCACCTACAGAAGCTGGTTTGATAAAAGGTATCTTCTTACCTGCTTTGTGTGTGTCATCCTCTGGGACCAAGATGGCAACAAAAGCCAAAGCTACGATGTTAACATTATGACTGAAATCCCATGACAATGAAACTCCCAGATTAAAATCTAGCAAAAAGATTTACTAGTTTCATTTGACTATTTCCCCCCCTCCACCTTTTGTAGCCGAAGTCTGCCATGGAGATCTTGCAAATATTGGACTATGGAAACAAAAACAGAACACAGCATCCCACTGATGTGAATGCCTCCTCATCTCGGTCCCATGCTGTCTTTCAGGTAAGATGATACAGCAGATAAGGTGTCTGAGGATCTTAGATAACCTTTGAAGCTTTGTTTAAAAAGAGAGAGAGAAAGAATCCTCGGCCTATGGCACACCAGCTATAATAGCTTTGGTCTTGGGAAGAGAGATCCAGCCCGCACTCTTGTCTGCATTAAATCCTTTGTGCTAAATAGCATTCAGGAGGGAAGCTCTCATGGTCTCTGCCGTCACTCAACTTCAGAGGAGGAATCTATTGAGGTGTCATGGCTGCTTGTGAGAAATAAATGTACTTCACGCTCATATAAATAGCAATATTTTTTTTCATGCGTAACTGCTTCTGTGCATTTATTTTTATACATAAAAATATATCAAAAAGTGATTCCCACTAAAGCAGCTGACTTAGTATATAGCAGACTGAGCCTATGCATGTTTATACAGAAGTCCTGCTGAGTTCAGTGGTGCTTGGTTCCAGGGAAATGTGGCTGGGATTGCAAACCAAAAGTATAATCCTATGCACAGTTGCTGGAGAGTTAAGTCTTGCTGAGTTCAGGTAAACTTATTTCTGAGTAAACGTGTTAAGATCCCAAAGAGTGTGTTGTTGGAATAGCAAGCTTTCAGATTGTGTGCTTTCAGATTGGTGATTTCATTGTGTACATAGCTGTCAAGGTTTCCCCTTTTTTAAGGGAAATTCCCTTATTCCGAATAGGATTCCTCGCAAGAAAAGGGAAAAGTTGACAGCTGTGATTGTGTATCCTTTATTGCATTGTTTATACAGCACTTTGAGAATTGTGGGTGGAAAGTGGGATGAAAATGTTGGGAATATAAAATAAACAATCCTTTCTGAAGTGTGTTAATCCAAACCTGGGTCTCCTGCTGTTTTTTAGACTACAGTTCCCATCATCCCTGACCACTTGTCCTGCTAGCTAGGGGTGATGGGAGTTGTAGTCCAAAAACAACTGTTGACCCAAGTTTGGGAAACACTGTGTTCATCTAAGGAGGAGCATCTAATCTTCATTTTTAATTTCCTTGTCCGATTCAATTTTGCACTCTCTGCATGACTGCCAGAAAGTCTGTATTACAAAAAGCTTAGGTTTGTGCATGTTTCCTTCCCTTCATTGCCCAACTTGTAGGCATGGAAGGGTGATTGTTTTATCTGAATTCTTTCCTCATTTCCTTGTTCTGTACTCCTCTGTTTCAGATCTATTTGAGACAACAAGACAGGACAGCATGTATCAATCAAAATGTCCGTATTGCCAAAATGTGCCTCATTGACTTGGCAGGCTCAGAACGTGCCAGCGCCACCAAGACCAAGGGAGCTCGTTTTAGAGAAGGGGCAAATATTAATCGCTCACTGCTAGCCCTTGGCAATATCATTAATGCTCTGGCAGACCCAAAAGTAGGTACCCATTTTCTTCTCCCCCAGCTGGGATTGTGTTGCATAAGAAGGTTAATGTTCTATATTATTTTTTTCCCCTATGGCCTAGTATGTTTATGTCTTTAAATGTAAGTTGCTAGGATACCTTTTAGGTCACAAGTGACTCATGAATCTCAAAAAGAATGGTGGCATGGTAAGGCATGCAAGAAAATAGAGCAGGGGTCAGCAAACTTTTTCAGCAGGGGGCCGGTCCACTGTCCCTCAGACCTTGTGGGGGCCGGACTATATTTGGGGGGAGGGCGAGAATGAATTCCTATGCCCCACAAATAACCCAGAGATGCATTTTAAATAAAAGGACACATTCTGCTCATGTAAAAACATGCTGATTCTCGGACTATCCGTGGGCCAGATTGAGAAGGCAATTGGGCTGGATCCGGTCCCCAGGCCTTAGTTTACCTACCCATGAAATAGAGTATGTGAAGCAGTTTGGAATGTGCTAAAGTACCGTATTGGCCTGAATATAAGCAGCACTTTCCCCCCAAATCCGACCGTGAAAGTTAAAGCACAGCTTATATTTGTAACCTTATGGTATGCAGCCAGGAGTGTGGCAAAGCAGCGCCCGCCCTGCACGTAGTCCCCCGTCCTCTCCAAGGCCAGGAAGGGAGAGAGAACAAGAAAGGGGAAAGGCCATCAGCAACACAGCAGTCTCTCTCCCTCTCTCTCTCTCTCCCCCCCCCCCCAAGTATACAGCCAGGAGCAGCAAGGAAGGGAGCAGCTTATATTCAGATATTTTTTCTCCCCCACCCCCACCCTTCCAATTTTAAAGGTGCGGCTTATATTCGGGTGCATCTTATATTCAGGCCAATACGGTAGTTGTTCCCAAACATTTTGGTATGGTGGCCCAACAAATCAAAATTCACTTACTACAGTGACCCATTCATTTATTGTAATGGGAATTTTGGAGCTTGGGTCTTTGGCAGCCATTGCTGTCAGGCATTTTAACACCTCACCTATTGCTAAAGACTACGATATGGTGAAATTTGGGTTAATGGGATCGAAGTAAGGGTGCTTAGCAGGACTGGCGATGGTTCAAATGAACTTTTGTTTTCAGGTGACATAAATAATCTGATCTACAGGTAAAAATCTATTTGGTCCCTAGTTTGCATATTAACCATCCCTTAAGCTTTTTCTATCCAGGTGAGCAGCAGTAACTCTCTCTGCTGCTGCTAGGCGTTCCAGCTGGTTCTCTTGGTGTTTGGAGCAGGAAGCCTAGGTCAGCAGGGACTTCCATGCAGGATTTGCCCTGGTTAAAGTAGAGATGAATAGCAGTAGCAGGTTGAGCAAAGCCCATCAAATCACTTATAGCACTTAAAAGAAGTAACTAAATATAGGATGTGGGTTGAATCTACTGCAGGTTTCCCTTTGTGTTCCCCTCTTGCGGTTCCTCTAGAAATCTATAAACAGTGCTTGGCATACGCTGAGCTTCAGGATTTATTGTGCTGGGAACACAGAACTGCTGCTGCTGCTGAATTTGGGAGGGAATCTGGGTTTTCACTAGACTGCTGACTCCTTGTATGTACAGGGATCTGCGGGTGGAGAGAATGTAGCACCCTTCCTTCCTTCCTTTGCAAGAATTGGAGAATCTAAGTTGCTAACCTCTGGTACCCTGTCTCATATAGGGACTTGCTAAGGGATTGGCTAGGTGTTGCAAGGGGCTTTCTAGTGGTGAGGAAATTCAAGGTTTTTATCTCCTGTCATTTATGTGCATTGTGAAACAGCTGTTCATAGTAAGTCATGGTCTGATGCTAAAGTAATCTCAGCACTCCATTAAACACTCACCCTCTTCTGTGTGGGGTTGTGTGTTTTTTGTTCTTCCAGAAGAAGAACCAGCACATTCCTTATCGGAACAGCAAGCTTACTCGTTTACTGAAGGATTCTCTAGGAGGAAATTGTCGCACGATAATTATAGCTGCTGTTAGTCCTTCTTCTCTGTTCTATGATGACACATATAACACTCTTAAATATGCCAATCGAGCCAAGGACATCAAATCCTCTGTAAGTAAACTTCTTCTTTTTAAGTTCTGCGCTGTTGCTTTCAAATTATAAAATGATGTTTGTTCTGATTGAGTGGATAATGACAACAGGGAAAAGATATTGCCCTCTCTCTTTTTTTGCTTCATATTTTTAAATATTGTGGCAATCTTACTGAGCGCTTTTTGTTTTTACGCAAGCAGTGTCACAACTGCCTTCTTTGCTCCTTGTACTTTCTTATCTACCCTTCCCTCTGTTTCATGGCATTATTTCAAAGGGGAAAACAATTCCTTGATACACTTGACCTACGTCCAATTTCCCTTCTCCCTTCCGTATTTTCCTTCTTCATCTGCAGCTTCTCAATGCATATCTTAGGCCTTTCTCAAGGGTATCCTTACATAAAGGAGATCCTGGGTGCGGGTGCGGATACTGGGAGTTGTAATTTGCAGAAAGGAGTGGGGAATTCCCCCCTGGGATGACCACAGCTTTGGATCCTGCCCATTGGGTTGAAACTCAGCTAAACCAAGCAAAGTTTATCTGGCACTGGCGAAAAACGGCAGGTGGTGATTGTCACCCATTCATTCTCCTCTCTGGCCCTGGGAAAAGCTGTTCTGGAGGGTTGGGGAAAACTCCAGAACAATGTGGGAGCAGCAGGAGGAAAGAGTAATTGGTGATAATCGTGGAGTGGAAGTCTGAATCCAAGCCATGACTTTTATTATGTTTAGGATGTATCCATCCCATTACCTTTTTGTTAACTTTATTTAATCAGGGGTTTTTGTGACTGATATTTGTGTTGCTTGATATGATGATCGTATGGTATGTTTTCCATAGCAAAGGAAGAATATACTGTCTTCTGATGTTTATGAAACTGAACTTTGTCTTCTCTTCACAGCTGAAGAGCAATGTAGTAAGCTTGGATAGCCATATAAGCCAATACGTTAAGATTTGTGAAGAACAAAAGAAAGAGGTATGTCAGTTACTAGAATAGTTAATGTTGCTTTAGTTACACATAAAGGATAACAGTATAATTAAAAGAAGACATTAATTGTTGTGCACCCAGATTTCCAGAAAACCTGGTGTTTCTGTGTCATATTAGGTGTAATGTAGATCATTAGTATGGCTTTAAAAATTGGTTTTGAAAAAGAAACTCATGGAATACTAAAAATGAGATACAAACTGCACATGCACCCATTTCTTTCAAATACACTATTATCCTGTTTCAGATCATAATGCTGAAAGAGAAACTACGAGTCCTTGAGTTGGAAAAAACATCTTCTCCTGACAGGCATGCCACAGACCAACAACAGATGGAAATTTCAAGGTAAAAAAAATAAATGCTTACTTATTGTGTTGTCTTGTACAAAGTTATGACATGATCCACAACTACTTGTGTGCATAAGATGAGAAAATACTTCTAATACCTTCTCTCTTGTCAGCCTTAGTTGGTCACTTGGTCACTCCTTACAACAGAGAGGCTCATCCATACTTTCATATTGTTATCCAGTGGCCTCCTCCCTTGCCAAAATTTAATGTACAAGCTCCTGGGGATCTATAGGGAAGTCAAGTTTAACACTTCCCTATAGATCAATGGTCAATAAGCAAACTCCCATATATGGTCCACTCCCATGCACAAAGGAGGGAACATTTGATTATCTTATTGTGCCTATAAAACAGCCATTGTTCTTGATAGTATTGCCTTTAATGTTATCCTGGGATAAGGATTCAACACCTGAAAATGCAGGTTCCTCGTTTTAAGGGTACCTGTCCTTAACCTTGAATGCTCAGGTGCTAGATGTAGCCAGATATGCCTTTGCCCAGCTTAAGTTGGTGCACTTGTTCCTGTAGACTGAAGATCTGGCCGTGGTAGCATGTGTCATAGTTACATCATAGAATCGGAGAATTGTAGAGTTGGAAATGACCACAAGGGTCAACTAGTCCAACCCTCTGCAATGCAGGAATAATTTGCCAAACTTGGTACTTGAACCCACAACCCATGTCAGGACTGTACTCCCCAGAATTATGTTTAATCAGAACCATGGATAGGACCTTCTCAGTTGCTGCATCCAAGCTCTGGAATCCCCTTTCAAGAAACATTCACCTTACCTCCTTGTTACTGGTTTCTTTTATTTGCCATGCTGTTGAATTTCCTTTTTTAGAAAGGCTTTTCAAGTGTGTTTTAATGCTTGGGCAAAATTTGTTAAATTTTGTGCTGGAAATGGTTTTCAATGGATACTTCCATTTTTACTCTATTTTTACCATTTCCCTTTTTGTATTTTTTAAGCATTTGTATTATAACTTTTTTATGTTGTTTTAGCCATCTTGGGCTCTCTTAGCGAAATGGGCAATATAAATGTTTTCAATAAATAAATATAACTGCTGTTTGCAGCTATATTTTCTGTCTAAGCTCTAGAAATTGAGTTAGGCATAAGGAGAAAAATTATGCCCAGTAAAATCTCTCTTTTGAAGTTCTAACGCTGCCTGGTGCTGTGAAATAACCTAATACCGACAGGGGCAGTGGAAGGGTTAAAAGTACAGCTGTGTAACTTGTGCATGTTTGGGACAGTGGGTCCTTATCCAATCTGGCAAAATCAGGATTCCAGGAACTGGGAAGCAAGCACTAGCCACTGAGAATATGGGGATATATTCCATGTAACATCAAGATAATCACGAGAATTTGAGCCCCTAGATCTTGTGTTAAGAGCAAATTATCGGCAGCTCCGTTTTGGTTCAAAATACCATTTATTTCAAAAACAGGAATTCAAAAATACTATTACAGGGGTGTGTTTAAAAAAAGAATCTTCTGTTAAGAGAGAATCGCTGCCTACTTGGTTAAAAATAATCTGGAAAATTACGTTTTGCAGAACTGTGTATATAGCGAGACAACTTTTTAATTACCTTTTTCTGTATAATAAACACATTAAGCAATTTTACTCTTTTATATCTCTGACATAAACTAAAGCTGCTATAACTCCATATAGAGACAAATATCCCCAGGGAAGGATCATAGGTGCTAATCACCGTTTGTTACATTGCAGATTTTTACAGTCGAACTTTCCCATGGTAACCCGCATTTTAATGCTCCAATTAAGAGGTTTTTAAGCTACTAAAAGCTGTCAAAAAAGGCACACCTGTTGAAACACGTGAAATCTAAGTTCTAATAATTTACAGCTGTATTGACAACCTGAATTTGTAAGAGAAAACATTTTTATGCTTTGAGGCAGAGCCATTTTAGATCCTTTAGAGCAGCAGCTATCGCAGGGGTCTCTTCCAACTCTACAATTCTATTATTCTTTTTGGGGAGGGGCAACCTGCAAGAAAACTTTGCAGATGGCGCTACTGCAGGCTCAGTCCACCCACCTGCCCACCAGCTGATGACCAATGTTTCAGGAGACAGCTTTCCAGAAAATCTCTAGCATTGCTTTGTCAATACAGCATTTCCCCTTTAGCCTATTCCTTTTTTTCACATGCGCTAAAGTCAGTGTTCTGCACACTGGCGCTCCTTTTTGACCAGGTGCCGCTTAGTAAGCCATTTGAAAACTTACTGTATCTAAAGGTAAAGGGACCCTTGACCATTAGGTCCAGTCATGGCCGACTCTGGGGTTGTGGCGCTCATCTCGCTTTACTGGCCGAGGGAGCCGGCGTACAGCTTCCGAGTCATGTGGCCAGCATGACTAAGCCACTCCTGGCAAACCAGAGCAGCGCATGGAAATGCCGTTTACCTTCCTGCTGAAGCAGTACCTGTTTATCTACTTGCCCTTTGATGTGCTTTCGAACTGCTAGGTGGGCAGGAGCAGGGACTGAGCAACGGGAGCTCACCCCATCGCGGGGATTTGAACCGCTGACCTTCTGATCAGCAAGCCCTAGGTTCTGTGGTTTAACCCACAGCGCCACCTGCATCCCTTTTTTACTGTATCAAACTTGGTAGCAAATAAAGAGAGGTGGTCCCATCTGAGCTCCTTGGTTAAGCTGTCGAATGGCATGCTGATTGTTGCTTCAGATGGTAAAGGCATGGCGAGTGTTTAAACAGATATCTCCTGGCTCCTGTCCTTGAGATTAATGTCTGAATGAAAAGCACACTGCTACGTGAGGACTTTCACTGTTGGTGTACCATCGTGGCGTTCTGAACCTTAATGGGACCTGACATGGTCCCCCACAGTCAAAGCCTAGACCAAAACAAAGGGGTTTGGGCTAGTCAATCCAATAACGTAGCCTTTTGATACACTTACATGAGAGAATATGGGAACATTGGGGTTTCATTCAGATCTGGGGATTATTTTATTAGTTTCCCTGATTATAATCCACTTCTGTCCTGGATTCCAATCTTCCTTTTACCTGTTGGGTTATGGAAATGTGGCTTTTTGATCAATATGTCACCATGTTGCACTAAATGTTTAAATGGCAGGAAAGAACAGGTTATTTGAGACACTGCCTTGCCCCTTATATACTCAGTAGGTTGCTGCAAATATTACTGGACTTCCATCAGCCTCAGCCAGCCAGGGATGATGGCAGCTGTAGACCAGCAACATTTAATTTTTTTTTAAACTTTTTAATGTTTTTATTCTATGGTTTTATGTTTTGTGGTTTTATTCTGTAAACCGCTTTGGTATTTTTATGATAAAGCACCGTATAAATTTAATAAATAAATAATTATCATCATAATCATTTTATAAACAAAGAAACATCTGAAGTACCACTCCTACTTTAACCTCTTTTGTTAAGCATAATGTTTTTAAATTGAAGCTGCTATTTACTACAGTGTAACATGCTGCCACGAAGCTGTGTTTTGTGTAACTTGGTCCTTTTTCTATATAAATGTTTGGGGCAGGTTTAGAGAAATTTTGAAGTGCGTGTTCGCAAATCGAGAGGAAATCAGGCAAGAATTTCTGAAGCTGGAACTGCGCCATAAAGAAAACATCCTGAAAACCCATTATCAAAAAAATTGTCATGAACAAATTGAAATGATGTGCGCTCCGGAGAGAATGGAGAGGGTAAGCTATTAGTATGACAGTTCTGCTGTCCTTTCTGCCATGCTTATGCCAAGCTCTTAGGCTAATGAAAAGAACGTGCTTCTGATCCTATGTGTCTCCTTACTGTAGTTATCCAGGGCCTCTTGAAACGAATTACAAGGGTTAGATCTTTGGGGGGTTCACCTGAACCCTCTCCTATTGAAAGCATGCACAAGAGTGTTGCAAGGTTGCACAGGCTAACCTCCAGCTTCCCCACTGGCAATACATGTGCCAGCAGTCATTTGAAGCAGCACTATGCACATTCATTTAGAGCAGTGTTTCCCAACCGGTGTTCCGCGGCACACTACTGTGCCGTCAGACATTGGCTGGTGTGCCGTGGGAGGGAGGCGGGCGAGTCGGGCGGTGAGAGGCGGCGGCGGCGAGGATCCGCGTCGAGCCGGGGGCGGCTCCGCGGTGGTGGTGCCGAGCGGCGGGGCAGCGCGTGCAAAAGGGAGGAGCGCGAGACAGCGGAGGAGGAGGAGGCCGGCATGTCCGGGCAGCAGCAGCAACAACAGCAGCAGCAACTCCCGGCGACGGCTCCTCAAGCCCCGCCGCCGCCCCCTCCTCCGCCCGCTATCGCCGCCACCACCACAACAGCCGCCGCCGCCTCAGTTGCCGCCAGTGGCGTAGCGTGGGGGGTGCCAGGGGTGCCGGGCGCAACATGGGCGGGGGGCGCGCTCGCACTAGCAGCTCTCTGCCCCTACTAAAATCCACGGGTTAGGGAGCCCGCGCTCGCTCGGCTTGGCGAGGAGGTCGCAGAAGGGGGAGAGCAAAGCCTTCTGCCGCGGGCAAAAAAAGGAGAGGAAGCCGGGCGGGCGGGCTGGCTGGCGGGGGTCTGGCTGTGCCTGCTGCTGCCGGGCTTTGACAGCTTGGCGAAGCGGAGGGAGAGGAGCTTCATGGTAATTGCGGCTCTCTCTCCACTGGCCGCCTGGCTAGTGAGCCGAGCCGAGCAGGGAGTCTGGCGAGGGGGCGGGACTTGCCGCCGTCCCTCAGTCCCTCGCTCTGCTGCCTCCTCCCACCCCCAAAGCTTGGAGGTTCCCCGGCAAGGGGGAGGGAAAAAACTTTCACTTTCCTGCGTCCCTCCCGGCGTGACGCTGCGCGCTGACGTCACGGGGCGGGGCTTTAATGGTGGTGTGCCGTGAGATTTTTTTTCAGTAAACAGGTGTGCCGTTGCCCAAAAAAGTTTGGGAAACACTGATTTAGAGGAACCTGGAGCTACTTCACAGAGCTACTCCTGTCCAGGTCCCCCCCCCCCCGCCCCGTCCCACCACCTGTGCGGGAAATTTCCCTTGGGGATTCAAGTGCAGAGGCTCATACCAAATTCTCAATCACTCTGACTTGATTTAGTAAATCATCAAGTTCAAAGAGTCTACCAGAGCTTTATAAATAGGTGAGGTGTACATCATCTTAGCTGCCCCTCCTCTAACTGAATCACCTTCTGCCACCCCAGCCCCTCACCATCTCTTCATCCAACCACAGTCTTTGAAATGCAACTTGTTCAACCCACTTTCACTGTATCTATTAGAACTCTTCTTGCACCTTGTATGGAGTTAGTTTTCACTTTAAACGTTCACCTGTTACGTTCCTCCTTAACTGGTTCTTACCAGTTTTGTACAGTGGTGCCCCGCAAATCCGCAAGACGAAAAACCCGCTAGACGAAAGGGTTTTCCGTTTTTGAGTTGCTTCGCAAGACGATTTTCCCTATGGGCTTGCTTCGCAAGACGAAAACGTCTTGCGATTTTTTTCCGCTCCCCCCCCCCTTTTTCTAAGCCGCTAATAGCCTTTTAGCCGCTAAGCCTTTAATAGCCACTAAACCGCTAATAGCGCTAAGCCGCTAATAGGGTTGCTTCGCAAGACGAAAAAACCGCTAGACGAAGAGACTCGCGGAACGGATTATTTTCGTCTTGCGAGGCACCACTGTAGTCAGGTTACGCTCCTGAGTACATAATAGGAGTTCTAACCTCACACTGTGTTGTTAAAGCTCTTTTATATGTCCTCTGACTTGTCTGCATACTTTTTCCTTGGTCCCTGCTTCTCTTGTCAACTCTTTTTCCCCATTCCTTTGGCCATCTTGCTGCTCAAATCTGCTGGCTCTTAGTTTACTTTTGGGGTGCTCTTTCCTCTCAGTGGGTCTCCCCAGCATTACTTTTTCTGCCCCTCGAGGTTTGCTGATCATAGCGTTTTTTCTCTACTCTTACTTTGCTTTCCGCCACTACACATACCGAACCACCTCAGCTGTTACTCCATTTTGTGACATTTCTTTAAGAACGACAGGAAAGAGGGCTTGAGCCTGAGCCGCCAGTTTTTATTCTGTGTGGTGTAAGAAGGAACTTTGTACTCCGGGCTCTGCATTTTACAGATAGGCTTTTACTTCTGATTTTTTAATCATACATTGTTCATATATTGCCTCTCCCATATAATGTGGCTCAAGTGGCTAATACTTAAATGTATAAAACTTCCCTCACATAGCAGTTAACTGTAAGTGACAATCTTTGAAGTTCTGTTGCAAAATAATTTTGTGTGTGAGGTTTTCTCCGACATCTGCTTTCAATTCAGCATAGTGATAGCTGTCTGAAATGGAAGGTGATATAAATTTCTTCTGTTGAACTAAGCAGGAAATATTTTAAACGCTGAAATGCAGGGTACATATACTGGCTGCTTTTTCTTTTCTTTTTCTTTCTTGCTCTTAATAGTCAAAACCATGTCTTAAATTCGGGAGTTCAAAGAGCATTTGGGGGCCGCATTCTTCAGAAATCACACTGGAAAAAATATTGGGTTCACATGCAGAACATTCAAGCGCCCACCCCACTCCTTTTGGGTTCAGGCAAAAAAACCTAAATGAATTATTTGGACCAACTCTGTTACTTATGATTTGGGAGAGCGTGGGCTGGACTAGCTGATACAGAGAGGGAACGGCTTGCAACAGCAGTCAGCTTTCCCTCTGGTAAAACCTTAAGTTTTTTTAAAAATATGTGTGTCTTTATTTTTTGATAAAAATATTTGCATGCCACAGTTTCACAAGTAGTTTACAACAATTATAATACAATTAAAACCACACAAAAATTAAAACAGATGGCATCACACTGGGCTTCGCTGACGACAACAGCCTGTGAACTCCAGCACAGTTGAGGAAACTGAATAATCTTGCATCATGTGTTCTGTTTTGCAAGGTGTTACTGGAAGGGCGAGATGCTGGGCTGTTGCTTTGGTAGTATGTAGTTCACCATGGTATCCGGTTCTGTCCTTTAGTTCGAAACTTAGGTTTGTTTTGTTACAGGCGACTGACAAGCACGACCACCGGCTTGCGTTACTTAAAACCCGTCGCTTGCAAATAGAGCAGAGGGAAACGGAAGAGACTAAACGCTTAGAGGACAACACTAATTGGTTGCACCGGGTCGAAAACGAAATGCGCCTCCTAGGTCAAGATGGCCAGATTCCTCAGGTAAGCTCCTTTGCCTCTGGTTGGCCATTGTGAGAACAGGATGCTGGACTTTGATGGGCCACTGGCTTAATCCAGTAGTACTGTTCTCGTGTTCCCTTTGGCTCCTGGGAAATATTTTGGATGTTCAAGTGAGAGAGATTGTTCTTTATTCCCCTGTAAAAAGGTAAAGGTAAAGGTACCCCTGCCCATATGGGCCAGTCGTGTCCGACTCTAGGGTTGTACGCTCATCTCACTTAAGAGGCCGGGAGCCAGCGCTGTCCGGAGACACTTCCGGGTCACGTGGCCAGCGTGACGAAGCTGCTCTGGCGAGCCAGCACCAGCGCAGCACACGGAAACGCTGTTTACCTTCCCGCTATAGAGTGGTACCTATTTATCTACTTGCACTTAGGGGTGCTTTCAAACTGCTTAGGTGGGCAGGAGCTGGGACGGAAAGACGGGAGCTCACCCCAGCGTGGGGATTCGAACCGCCGACCATACAATCGGCAAGTCCTAGGCTCTGAGGTTTTACCCACAGCGCCACCTGCATCCCTTTATTCCCCTGTAGCAGTAAGCAAATTTGTGTGCGTGTATAAAAAAGTGAAATAGAGAGAGGACTTTCCACACTCCAGACCAGATGATGGGTCAGTGAGGGTGAGCAGGGAATTGGTTTGGAGCTGCCCCTTCAGGCCAAGTCACTTCCCATCTTGCTTCATGTGTCCTTCCTCAGTTACTTAAAAATAGCTCTTGCTAACTGTAACTGTAAGGCTTTCCCATTTGCAGATAGCTGCTTTGTAATGTGGTAGAAGACAGATGTTTTCTGTTGCAATTTTCTCTTTTAAATGTGCATGTTTTTTCACTGCTTTCAATGAAAATAGATTGATTCCCCCCCCTTTTTAAAAAAAAGTCTCAAGCAAATTGCTGTACTTCCCAGAATAGTACTGTATCTACAAGAGACTATTGTCGTTTCTTGTTGTTCACGTAGCGCAAGAGTAGATACTGTCTTCATATGAAAGAAAAGAAGAAAACCAGGAAGCGAACAAAGCACCTGCCTTCCATTTTTCAAACAAGCCTATAAACAAAATTGACCTGGTGTCTGCTGCATTCTTCCCGCAACCTCTGCCGCTGAAATAATACCTTATCCATCTTAGCCACTCCTGAAAATGGAAGTTATTAGCATGTAAAAATGTGATAATAACTGGGAGTCGCAAGGATGAGAGCCATGCTTGATGAATGCTAGTATGTCCCCGCTGTCACTGAGGTTTAGTGCCAGATATGGCACTGGTCATTTTTAAGGACTTTACCTCAGTTGTGTTGGGGTTTGGGGGGGGGGTTTCCTGCACCCTCCTCCTTCAGCCTGGAAGCTTTCAAAGCACCAGCATGCAGGCAGGGTTTGATACTTTGCTTCCCAAGCAGCCCCAGACTTAAGGGGCTTCAATAAGAGGTCTCCTAGGTCATTCCGGTTTGGTTTTAACTTGAAGTGCCTTGGTTGATTTGTATTGACGGCTATCAGCTCTGAGTGAGATTCAATATATACAGGTATAACGTTCACTCAAGAAGCATTGTTAGCTATTGTTAACGCAAGGGGAAGTAGCATGATAGTACAAATCAGTGTATGGTAGGCAAAAATTGCACGAGATTTCCCTTGGCCCAAGCCAACAGTTAGTTAATGGAATGGCTGTTGCCACAATTGGATGCCACCCTCTTGACCTATTCCCCATCACTTGGCAAGAGTAGGACTGTTGTTTTCCAAAGTAGTAGCATTCCTGTCATTACTGGGTTGGCTGCCTATGAGCTTGGCTTCAACATGGCTCCCTTTTCCAGGAGCTCAACCGAGATCTGCAGTACTTCCATTTGAAGTTGGAAGTGAAGGATTTGAGAACTCAGGCCGAATACATGAGGACTCTTGCATCCCTCCAAGAACAGCAATATAAACAGACAGAAAAGTAAGTCGACGTTTGAAATGCCATATTTTGAACAGCTTCCCTATTTAAAGCTTTTGACGTATGTGAAAGCTACAAATAGGCTAATTTTACACGAAAATTGTGGTACATTTGATTAAACTTTCGTTGGACTGCTTTTGAACAAGAGGTCTGAAAGTGACAGCGACAATGTTTCTTTTTCTGTCCTATTCCAAAAAGCTGAACAGATTGCTCTTTCAGAATATCTTAGTAGGAACACTTTGACCTTTTAAGCTCAGTGGTGGCCAATCTCTTTGGAAGGTGTGCAGCAAATCAAATCCAGAGCATGAGGGTGCCATTTTGGCATCCATTGTAGTCTGTAGGCAGACTGCTGTGGCTTCATAGTTTGCCTCTTGTCTTGCCTCTGGAACCAGGAATAAGGCAGTCCTGCAGTGTAGAAGATGTAGGCAGGAGAATGTACCTAGTTCCATTCTGTGGGTAGCTAACCTTTTTTCCTGGCCTGAAGGCCAAATTCACTCTTGGCCAGTGATTCAGGGGTACATGCCAGTGGTGGGTATCTCATGCACCACAGGTACCCAACCCAGCCCTTCTCTTCAGCTGATTATAAATGGGGGGTTTTCACCTCCGCCCCCTCACCAAACAATGACTTGGCCCAAGGGCTTGGGACTGTCCTTGAAGACAACTCTGATACTTCAACAGGTCCAAAATACAGAAGCCAGATTACTGGCTCCCCTTGGAACTCCTATAACCCCTCTTTTAAAACAGCTGATCTTAATAGCGTTTCCCTTCCTGGGAATTTTCCCCTTAGAGAGGCCTATAGAATAAATACCGATGAATGAGTTCTTTGTAGGCAGCTGCTCAGTGGTGCCTAACAGTGAGATGATAAATTTCTAGTCTGACTACCTACCTGGTTTGAGGAACCTGGTTGATGACCTATACCAAGATCTCTCATTTGCTTTAAGGGTTAGCACCAACACTTTAAATTGTGCTTGGAAAGCCAATTGGGAGCCAATACAGTGGTGCCTCGCAAGACGAAAAGAATCCGTTCCGCGATTCTCTTCGTCTAGCGGTTTTTTCGTCTTGCGAAGCAACCCCATTAGCGGCTAAGAGGATTAGCGCTATTAGCGATTTAGCGGCTTAATATAATAATAATAATAATTTATTATTTATACCCCACCCACCTGGCTGGGTTTCCCCAGCCACTCTGGGCGGCTCCCAACCAGTGTTAAAAACAGTACAGCGTTACATATTAAAAACTTCCCTGAACAGGGCTGCCTTAAGATGTCTTCTGAATAGGCTTAGCGGCTATTAAAGGATTAGCGGCTAAGCTGCTAAAAGGCTATTAGCGGCTTAGCGGCTTAGAAAAAGGGGGGGAGCGGGGGAAAATGGCGAGACTCGCAAGACGTTTTCGTCTTGCGAAGCAAGCCCATAGGGAAATTCGTCTTGCGGGGCACCACTGTATAGGTCTTTCAGGACCGGTGTTACATGGTCTCGGCAGACGCATTCTGAAACTGCAATTAATCCAGGATGCAGAAGGATCAACTCAAATATTTTAGGGTATAGGAATCCTGCTGAAAATGTAGGTTGGCACCTAAAGATTAATGACCATAAAATCAAATCTAGAATTGTGAAGGCACTCTGCAACATTTAACCCCAGAAAGAAACTCTACAAATATAAACACTAGGTTATTGGGAATATGGACAGAGTGTTAAAATTCATACAGGACTTGCTGACAATAGTCTTCTCTCGCTGCGCAACTGGTGTTTAAAAGCTTGTGTATACTTTCTAAGTAGGATGTCTGCATATATATAATGTTCCTTAAATACAATTTACATGAAAGCAGCATGCAGTGCAATCTCTGAGATGTTTGTTGCTTATTTACCATGAAACTTTCATTTTTTAACAGAATACTAAGTGCTTTGCTTTCTGTTATAAGAAAGCAGTACGTAGCTTTGAAAACAGCAGGGTTAGCAAACAGTGCTATTGAGGATGACTTCAAGGCTTTTGAGCAGCTGATTCACAGAGAGAAAGCCGTTGTCTGGGCTGACCAGATGACTGAAAAAGAACCAAAACAAAATGATTCACCAGTGATGTCTGCTATCATGGCCTTTCCACAACTTGTGAGTTACCAGAATACTCCTTGCCGTAAGTAGACAATTGTCTCTTTTTCTGTTTTTAAGGTGTTGCACCTTCCCTTAGGGAAAAAAGGTCAAATTCGATGGTAGATTTACAGTGAGTTGGATCCAGAATGCCCCTTCCTTGTACTGAAAGACTGGAATCTCCAGCTGCTAGAGAAAGGGACTGGGAAGGAGAGCTTCACCCCCTGCAGCTCCCATTCCTTGGAGGGTCACTGAACTGTCCAGAACAGCTTTTAAGGGGTCTGGAGAGCAGCCTCTCCACCCACTTTCTCTAGCAGGAGAGCCTTGTAGACAGAATGATGGTGATGGTGATCTTTTTATCGAAAGTTCAAAAAGTACCTAACTATATGTGCACCAGACATGGTGAACGCAAACCAAAAAGAGAAACAGAGCCTGTGCAGGAGGGAAAACAAAGGGGGGGGGGGCAAAACTGTATATTTTACAAGGTTGTTATTGTACTTCACCAGATCTTAACCTATTACAGTTTACGGTATTTGTAAGAATGGATTCCAAATATCATTGAATTTGCCCATGGGAAGTCTGCGTTTATATGCAAGTCGTTCATATGTTGCGAGTTTGTATAAGTCTTCAATCCAATCGTAGAAGGGTGCCGCATTTTTATTTTTCCAGTTCATCAGTATCAGTCTTTTTGTGGTAAGGGCATGGATAGTCCACTCACATTGTCCTTTTGTAAGGTTCCATGTGCTGGTTATATAATTCAAGAGGATATTTTGCTCTGTAAATGTAAGGTTGTTCTATACAGTTCTGTTGATGGTTTCAGTTACCTTCTGCCAAAAATGTTTCAATATAGGACATTGGTTATTATGAGGATTATATATTTATACCCCACCTTTTTCTATGTTGAGACTCAAGACAGCTTACAGATAAAAGACCTGCCAATAATTATTACAAGTTCTGCTCGCCTGAATTCTGAATCCAGCCAAATGTGACTAAACCTAACTTTAGTGTAGCAGCTAAAGTGTAAGATAGCAAAAGAAGCCCTTTCTTGGAATTGGTGTGCGTCATCCCCTCAGGAATATCTGCCTATATCACTCAACTCTTCCTAATGTAGCAGTTACAGCCTTGCGAAAACATCAGTTCTAGGGTGGGCATTGAAATGAGTCTGCATGTAGCTTTTCTCCAGATCACCGAAGAAAGTAGAAAATGTTTAAATAAGCCTTGATCCAGATAATTATTTAAAGATACCCATGTACAGTAAGACCTTTTCCTTCCTGTTTTGTAACCTTTCTGAATTCCTCCACAGCGCTTGTGATATTTCATTTGGGAGGCGGGCTGTTTTCTTAAGATAAGGAAAATACCCACTGTACACCTGACAAATAAGGGTGATTCGACAGATTAAAGACGTTTGTTAGCTTTGTGCTACTTTTTCTAGTGCAGTGCATTCATCCTTATCAGTAGGTAGTCTGGGCGTTTGTACGATCCGGCCAACTTATGCCATGAACAGTATTATTGGTCATAAAATGAAGTGAGGCACCTTTCAATCGGTTTAGCAAACGTTGTTTCCTGTCTGTGGCTTTCTGTTGGAAATGTGAGCGCTAATGTTTGTACTGACTCCTCCTTAATGCGGTAATTTTCTGCATTTACTGTACCTCTACAACTTCTGCATCCTGGGTGCTCCCTTCCCTAGAGACATTTCAGAGCAAGCAGCGATGCAGATAGGAATTGCGGGGGAAAGTTGCAATCTCGCTGGTGAAAATAATTTGATTTATGCGCAAATGCAAGGAAGAGAATTGCTGTTGGTCTTCTCAAGCCTATGGTTTTAGAGAGTCCAAGGTGATCCTGGGTATTCCTTCTACAATTAGAAGATCAGTATTGGCAAACTTTCCTGAAAGACTTCCATTCCTGATCTTCCCTAGTCTGAATGCACCCTCAGCTTCCATAGGAAATGATGAGGCCCAATAGATCTTGTCACTACACCATGTGAGCCTGTGGTGCACTCTGGATCCTCCAACCTACAATACATGTGCTCTTCAACAGTTAGATTCATGTGGGAAAGGTTCCTTCGAAAATTTGGAAACCAACCCTCCTACACAAAATACTAATATTTTCAGAAACAAAATATGATATGGAGAGCTATGTTTAAGAACAAGACTTCATGAAACACTGGATATTTTAGAGCTCTTACCATCTAAACTTGGATAAACAAAATGGTACTTATAAGTTAGGTTGGAACATTTGTATGTTTTGTTTAAAGATCCAACACACAAAAATCACCAGCAGCATAAATTATTCCTTAGAAAAGTCAAAGGGAGCAGGGAGTTCCCATGTTGTTAGGAAGCCCTGACTTACCTTTAGTTAGGAAATTTTTAAACGCCAATTCATACAGATCCCATTGCACCGTTTTTGGTTCATTGATTTTATTTATTTATTTATTTTGGTACGCAATCTATTCAAGATGTTAGGCAGGAAATGGGGTTTTGCACAGAGGCTGAAAAAACATTGGCCACCTGTTACACAGTGGTCATTATTCCTTATTTAAAAATCCATATTTTACTTGCAGCATAATTGCATAGGCTTTACTTGTCAACATAACAGTAAAGCTGTTCCATTTTGGGGGCAACAGACTCTTGGTTTCCAATCCATTTTTGAATTAAGAGACATATATGTTCCCGTGGGAATATTTCAGAGGGTTTTCCAAAATTCTCTATATTTGGATAAATTGGTCATCATAATGTTTCATTTACGTTGAAGTATGTATGCAGTATAATTTTAATAAAATAATGGGCATCTCGGGAATTAAACAGGAAGGGTGTGTGTGAGCCCAGCTTGCTAGCATATGTAGTTTACTGTTTCACTCTTAAATGTAGATTGATTACTAGGAAAGTGTAGTTTGGAAATGCTTTTTCCCTAAATATCTTCCTTTAGGTATTAAGTGTAGTAATGCCAGCTATGTTGTCTAGTACCAATAATGCCATCTACCGTGAATTATCAGTGGATGATAGCTTACGTCTCAGTATATTTATAATATTTACAGTGGTACCTCGGCTTAAGAACTTAATTCATTCTGGTCTTAACCTGAGGTACCACTTTAGCTAATGAGGCCTCCTGCTGCTGCCGTTCCACCGCCGCGCAATTTCTGTTCTCATCCTGAAGCAAAGTTCTTAACCCGAGGTACTATTTCTGGGTTAGCGGAGTCTGTAACCTGAAGCGTCTGTAACCCGAGGTACCACTGTATTGGTGTTTTGCATCTGTTCAGCACACTAGCAATGCATAAAAAAGATAATGAGTAGGCTTAGACATTTGTCCAGTCTAAACCAGTCCTTTTTTTCTGGTCACACCTCAACACTTCTTGGTTTGCATATGATGGAAATATAGTATAGTACAGTATTTTAACTTGGGGAAAGAGTAGGCAGGGCTTTATAAATGGACTGTGAGAAACACAAAGAAGAGTCGGCTGGTATCAGAAGTTAGAGCAAAGTTGATTCTCTGATATTCTAGTCAAGGTAGTTAAAGACGGGAGCAGAAAATGTGCAAAGGCAGCGGTTGTGCTTTAAAGGAGTGGGGCATTGTGAGAACTAGCAATGTAAAGTTGGCACAGAAAGCAATCAAGGGACAAGGCAATCTTAATCAGCATTGACCAAAGACAAAGAAGCTGCTAGAATGGAAGTCAGCAAGATTTCAAAAATTTCACATGAGAGTAAGCTGAGGGTGATGAGCTTTAGCAGTAAATCCCATTCATTTCCCTCAATATTTCTAACTTTTCTCACTGTATTGGTGAAGAGGACTATAAAAGGTGAAGGAATCAGCTTAAGGGTTCTTCTGGTAAAAAATAAATAAATCTCCATATTTTGCCAAACTCAGTTCTTGGGATGTGTATGCCCAAATTACAGTGCCCCTGTGTTTGCTATAGACAGATAGACAGACAGACAGACAGAAATGCTTTGGTGACAGGCTGCTTGTAGCAAACTTTAATGACAAAGATCTCTTGGCAGTTTTCAGTTCCAGAACTTAACTTGGTAGCGCGCTTCCAAAAACTTGTAAGGTTGGTTAGCTATTTCTCTTTCCCGGTAGAGTAGGGTGGGGTTGCTGTTTGATTGAACCCATCACTCTTGGCTTTTCTACCTCGCTTGGCAACTTCAAAGCCTTGTTATTATATCCTTTCAGTAGCACTTGGATGAGAGTAAGAAATGAGACTTGGCAGCAGAATAACAACAGCATCCTTTGCTCTTGAAACAACTTTAATTTCAAATAGACTGTTGCCTCAAAAAAAGAGTGAGGGGCTTACCTTTTAGCTGCAGTTTATAGCAGACTGCAAAATCATAGGCAGCTGTGATATTTTAACTCCTGCCATTGAAGTGCAACATAAATTATTATACCAGTCAAGTAAAAACACAAGCTCTAAGTTAAGAGTGGCATTCTTAAGGCTTGCGCAGTAGGATTTTGATTGATGGCGTGATCCGTGTTCTCTCTGTGTTTGAGATGCGAATGCGAGCTCCATTCACAGCCAGGCACTTGCCAGTATTTCTGGCTTTGTTTCAGATATCCCATTTCTTTAAGCGTAGCTGTGCATTAGTAGAGAGGGGAGTGGGGTCCATGTTTAAATGCAGGGGGAAGTGCCCATTACTTCCTCCAGTGACCAGAAGCAAAGCCAATTTATTACTGGGAATAGCTAATTGCTGTGAATTCTCATGTTAGTCAAAACATTGACTTGAGATGCAGGATTGCATCCTCATTCATCCTCTCACCTGTAAGCTTCAATACGTACTGGAGAGCTTCTTCCCATTCAAGCTGCCCTGTTAAAACTGCCTTCCTTTCTCCATCTTAAGTAATAGCATCACACTAATGTTGCCATTCTTTTGGATGCAAGCTGGGGTTTTGGTAGCTCCCACACACCCACATTGCATTTATTGCTTCCAGAATATCTTTAAATTGCTTGGCATAATAACGCGTTGGGGTCACATGAATATTAAATAGCTAAAATTCATTCACTAGGCAACATTTGCAACTCGGAATTCCATGAGTCAGAAAGCTGTTAAAAGAATCAAAATTTATGATTAGTAGAGTAATTGGATCAATCACTGGAAGCCCAGAAATGTTTATTGAAATGAATACATTAATATTTGATTTCACTTTAGCCGAACAACCGAGCAGACTTAATTTAGCACAGATTCCAGAAATACCTTCTCATGCATGTATTTAACATGAGTTCTGGAAGAATAAAAAAATCCCAACCCGTTATTTTGTCCCAAACCCAATTAGAACTTGTCCCATTCATCAATGTCTTTTTGACATGAACTCGACTTTTGTGGACTGTGACTCATGTTTGCTAAATACTTCCCTCACGCTTTTCACATTACTTGATACCATGCTAAGTCTTGTCTTTGTATACTCGCTTCTTGATAAATGAGTTCCTTTATCGGCAGAGATTTCTGGAGGCATGACATGGCATAGCCAAGGCTGTCCAAAAATTCTTAATTGAAAGGGAGAGAAATCATTCATTTGAATACCTTCATGTTCAACTCCCGTTTTTCATGTCGATTCTAAAGCATGGCAAAAATATATTTTGGCAGGTGCAGCTGAAACCTGTGAAAGTTTACTCAGAAGTAAGTTGCACTGCTTGCCATAGGGCTTACTTCTAGGCAACTGTGCAAAGGAACACAGCTTTAATATAAGGTGTATTTGCTTACCCCATAACACACATGGTAATAAGTTGGGGGGGGATGTGGTCGATTTTACATCCTAAATTAATCCTTAAGTATTGTATCCAATTTATCTTAATTTATGGGACTGGATAGATATATGAGGGCTTGTTTTTCCAGCATGGCTGCAAGCATTTGCCTCCATTTTCAGCACACCATAGTTTGTTGAAAGTAGGGGAGGGGGTTTGCAGTAGTGAGCTTTAACTATGGTTTGTCCAAAGAATCCAGGATCATCAACCTCTGATCATCTCCTCTTCACAACTTCACTGGAAGAGAAGGGTTCGAGGCACACCTAAGCTTGTCCTCATAGCAGTAAACCAGGGTTGGGCAGCCTGTGGCACTCCAAATGTTGCTCAACTACAAATCCCATTATCCGTGACCATTGCCCATGCTGGCCACTTTTAAGGGCAGGATAAACGAGGACAATCGCTCTTTTAGATATACAGTACTTTTATTAAATAATAATAGCAAGTTGGTGTACAGCATTATAATATCCATAATAAGATCCATTCATGTTCCATTCAAGGCCCATCTGAACAGTACTGTTTTCAAAAGACCTCTAAAATATGGCAGGGGTGACTCTTGCCTGATCTTTACAGGCAAGGAGTTCCAGGGGGCACATCAGGGGCAGGAAGATCTCAGTGACTGAGGTGGAATCAGGAGGTACTTTGGGCCCAAGTTGTTTGAAACGATTGTTTTGCTAAGGATTTCTTTCATTCTGATGACATTAAGTAGCTATATGGGGTTTCCTTTTTCCTAATGGCTCGCATTTGTGCTTCATGGAACCCCAGCAACCAGCTTTTTATTAATGAGCTTCCAGTGCAGTATGAAATATGGCTCCTTGTGTTGAAGTTCAACAAATTATTAATGTTGGCAATACTTTTTGTGTTCTCTACCTATCTGGTTTGCAGTTTAAATGCTTACATTTACGGGTAATTTAAAAGTGGTTTCAGTACTGGGAGAAGCTTCTAAAACTTGGCACTCTCACCAAAATGTTTCTCTCCCCCAAGACTTCGTTCCCAGTTTCTCTTAGGACATTTTGAAAAAACCCAGTGCCTTACAGTAAACAAAACTTTTTTTCTTCTTCTTTGGAAAGAGGAACGTCAGTGCTATAATGTATAAACACAGACCAACGGTCCGCCAACCACTACTTTTCCCCGAAACACATACTTTCAGATGCATAAGCTAGAGCAACGCCTCATAAATTAATATTTTAAAATGTTGCCTAAAATGTTTAATGGATAGCTGTTTGAAAGAGTATAATTGGATTCTCTGGGCAAAGCATATTGTTGATATTCAGCAAAGTGGCTATTCAAAATGTTATGATTGGAGCCTTGCATCACTATTCACATAATCGGGTTTCTCGGCCATAGGATGTTGGAAGATAAATATTTTGAGCACACAGAGTTTGTTTATTGTCTAGAAATGCAATGTGGAATACTTCAGACTAAAATTTATGAACCAGGAAGTACTGGAATTGCATCTAGCCAAACACCAATCTGAATTTTTAACCAGAGGGCGGGGGAGAGAGAGAATGCCTCTGAGCCATTGCGTTTGAAGCAAGTGTGTAGGTAGGATTGTCTTGTTATTTTCCTGTGAGGGTAGGACCAAGAACAGAGATTGAACAGTTAACTACTACATATTCACAGGAATGGTCTCACTTAGTCCAACTGCTATGCAGAGCATGTCAACCCTTCACCATCGTAAGTGTAAAACATACCGTAGCTATACTTTGTATGTTCTACGTCAAAACCTAGGATGTTCTGATACCCTTTTTCCTGACCTTCTGTGTACTATTTTTCAGCTTAAAGATCTGCTACTTGTAAGCCAACCCTAAATATTTCCTTCCAGACACCTTTAGCTTGTGGTTAGAATCATGGCTATGTCTAGTTGCACCTTGTTTGGGTGAATGATCTAAAATGGTGGTGCAATGCTTTCTAAATTGCTGAAGATCTCCCCACCACCACCCCAGTAGTTCATCTTTCATTGGTTTTGGACTTAAAATGTCAGTTAGGGTGACATGCCTTTTTTGAAGTGGCTTGATGACATGTGGTTTCCGAATTTATTCTATCAAAATCAAGCAGTGGTAGATTTTGAATAAATGTCTTACAAAGGCTAAGCCCATTGCCTGGAAATAAATGCAAAGTGTTTGTTTAATGCAGATAAGCAAGCTAAATGCACTACTACATTCTAAAGGCAGTACTAAACCTCTGTGTTTTGGTTTCTAACTATTTAAGCAGGCAGAACAGAGGGGGGAAGTCAAGTCACATGCTGTAATAAAATTTCTTAAGCCCCTTTCATAGTTTTTCCTCCATCTGCTTAGCCTATGTGTGGAAGGGAATGCAGGTTTAAAATATTGCATACAGAAGGAAGAAGCAAAGTACAAAGAAAATACAGTACTGGTGAATAATAATAAAACAATTGTGTATCAGTAGAGAGGTAAGGGCTTCAGTTGGAGACCCCAACTTGCCAGATGTTTGTTATTTATGCAAACATATCCATGTACAGAGTCCATCTGTCTAATAATTTTCCACCCTTCCTCTGCTTAGGTAAAGTCGCTTTCTCATAAGTGGCTAGTTGGCTCATGTCTTCCATCCCTTGTACTATACGGGAAGAAGATCTCTCCTTCCAATACTGAAGTGTCAAGTGTTTGGCCACCATGAGTACCTTCATTAGCCAGTTATGTTATCCCTCTCTCTGGTTCCAAAGGACTAGTAAATAATATAGCAAAACACTAACATCTTTACATCTCAGGAATCTGTTTAAGGACCATATTTATGGTTGTTGTTGTTGTTGTTGTTGTTTAGTTGTTTAGTCGTGTCCGACTCTTCGTGACCCCATGGACCAGAGCACGCCAGGCACTTCTGTCTTCCACTGCCTCCCGCAGTTTGGTCAAACTCATATTTATGGTTACCTCTGACCAAAATGTCATTACTTTGGGGCAGGATCATATCATATGGCACTATGTTATTGGAGGGGGAGCACAATGCCAGCACTATTCTGTGTTTTACATATATTTTTTGGAAAATGCATTGTGGGTTCCAATGCACTCTAAGGATGTTTTTTCATGTTGTATCAGACATAGCCTGATATCCATGGAGACCAATCTGACAGAAACGAGTATTGCTTTCCATTGCCTATTGTGTATGAGCTGCAAGAAATTAAGACCACCAGGGCTATAATCCGCTTTCCATTTTCCGTGGTCTCTTATACTTCCTTCTTAAGTTTTCTTACTTGTTCCTCACTGCCCTCGCCTCCTTCACTGTGTGATACTTTCTGTCAATCAGCCATTATTACAATGGTTCTGTACTGGCTCAGCTGCTTTTAATTATGGTATATAAGCTGCTATCCTCAGCAACTGTACAGTTATGTGTTGATAAATTATTATATTAGTTCCCTGTTTCCTTCTCTCCCACACTGCTGATGGTGCACTTATAGGTATTTGTATATAATTTTTGTATACATGTAGGAAATTATATTATAGTAAGTCCTGTAATGTAATATGACAACGTTTACCGATCTAATATAAGAATGTTAACAAATAAAATGCAAATTTCAAAAAAATAATAATGAAAGTTTGGAGAGGGCTTAAAATGATCCAGACTAAGGTACAGTGGTAACTCGGGTTAAGAACTTCATTCATTCTGGAGGTCCGTTCTTAACCTGAAACTGTTCTTAACCTGAGGTACCACTTTAGCTAATGGGTCCTCCCGCTGCTGCCACGCGATTTCTGTTCTCATCCTGAAGCAAAGTTCTTGACCCGAGGTAATATTTCTGGGTTACCGGAGTCTGTAACCTGAAGTGTCTGTAACCCGAGGTACCACTGTACTTGAATCCAAAGGAAGATCAAGGTGACTTAAAGTAATACAATTACATTAAAACATTAAAAAAAAGTTAAGTCACTACTAACTTGTCCCATTGATTTCAGTGAAACCTAAGCTCAGCTACCTTGGTTTAGATCCAGCTCTACAGAACTGTTCTTACTCTTCTCTGCAAAGCCTAGAACACACACCTAAGTGATTCTTCTTGCCTGTGTTTCAACCTAGGTATGCCATCAGAGAAAGTTAAGACCCATGTGGAACTTGAGGCAGAATACGGAGTACCTCCTAATAAAAGAATAAGGCGGAAATTGATGGAGTCTCCCATGGCACTGCAAAGTCCTCAGCAATCCAGTCGGCCAAGCCCTAATCACCTGGTGGATTCCATCAGCAAAGAATTCCACCCCATTCTGTATACACCCAAGGGCTGCCAGAAGCCTGTGGAGAACCTGCGTACTGAGACTGTGGTAAAGCAAGTGTTAAATACAGCAGCAGGCCTTCAAGAAATGAACAGTCGCACTGCACAGGCTCAGGAGCCATTAAAGCCGGAGAGCCATGGGGATAACATATGCGTCGTGACTCCAGAGCGCCTCATGAACTCGACAGTTACTCTATATGAAAGCAACATGGACAGTACAGACTTCCCTCCCAATGAATCTGAAAGCAAATTGCAGGTGACCGACAGCAGCAACAATAGTTTACAAAGGTATTTTCTGTGGAAGAGGAGGTGTAATATCCTCTCTCCTTCCTCGCCACTTTAATCCTAATATTGGTTTATCTGCTTTCTTTCCTTTTTGCACAATTAGTGTGACCTCAGTTGTTTCACATTCTAATGTCAGATAACTGTGGCATTTAAAGCTTCTGAAAGACGTGCCTGAATTGTTAAACTATGTATGGCCTTGTTCAAAAGATCGTGTTGCTGTTTCCTCCTGCTGATCCCTTTTCCCTTTCTTTCATGGACTGCAGTCCATGAACACAAAGTCTGGCGAAACACGACAATAAGGCAAGTGAAGAAGCAAGGGTAGAATACCGAGCAGTTTTCACAATGGAGTGAAGGAAGCATTGGGTTCCTCCAGTGATCTATTTTGGGATCTGTGCTACTGGAGTCAGGGATTGTAGGCAGACTTGCAGGTAACACCAAATTATTTAGGTTGGTGAAAGTCGAAGCAGGCCATGAATTGCTCCAAAAACATCTCTTCAAAGTGGGTGGGCAACAAAATGGCAAGTGAGGCTCAATTTCAAAATCACATTGGGGCAAAAAATCAAAATAAAATAATCATGGCAACGTATTCATTGATGTGGTCTCTCTGAACTGGTAAGTACTCAGGAAAGAGATCTTGGGGTTGTTCTAAACAGCTCTGAAAATGTTGGCTTGTTTATGGTGGTGAGAATGGGAAATGTTGTGCTAAGGATTGAAATACATCTGCCTGTATTAGGATGCCTTTAAATAAATCAAAGGTACACTGGCAGCCTCTTTTTGAAAATGACCTTGAAGAGCTGTAAAAAGTGAAGACCAATGCACAAGATGAAATTCACTTTCATAAGATGTGGTGGTCACCACTGGCACTGATGGCTTTGAAAGGGGATGAGATAAACCCATGACAGATGTGTCTCAAAAAAAAAAAAAAGAAACCATGATGACAAAACGGAGCCTGTAGGTTCAGCAGCAGTAGGCCTCTAAATCTTCATTTCTTGTAGGCAAGGATGTTAACAGAAGAGTTCTGTTGCCTTCAAGTGCTGCTTGCGCGCTTCCTGGAAGCACCTGGCTGGCTAATCAGGTTACTGTACTAGAGTGGACCCTGGGTGGATCCCACAGTGTTTCTGGGCACTGCAATAAGAAAATGTTCAGCATTAGCAAGGAGCAGCAAGGCCATAGGGTTCCAGAAGTTGGCAGTAGGGCACCTGTTGGAGCATCGGCCTTTGCAGGTACCCAGCAGTGCGGAACTGTTGATTCCTGTGCAAATTTCTCATCCTGGCACAATTCCAGGTGAAACCAGGGTATTTCCATTGAAGGTATTGCAGAACAGATCCTCCAGTGAAAACAGACATTCAAGTGTCCGTACTGGCAATTTCTGGATTTTTAAAAGCTGTGCAAATAAAATATCCTTCCCTTGCATATTTTGTTTTAATACCAACACTTTTTGGAATGCAAGATTATTTTTAGAATTTGTGGCTTTTGTTTTAAAGAAATACTCACGACTACTTTTTCCTCCTTTGCTGTTATTTCAGACTTGCTGTCGCTCCATCATTAAATAGGCAGCCAGACCCCATACATAATAAGCCATCTTATATGGCAATGACATCTGCTGCTGAGAGGAAAAGGAAGTTATTAAGGTAAGTCATGCTTCAGGTTCAGTGCTCTTTTCCCCATCTGTGAAATGGGTTGCTGGTGTGTCAGTGCTGTGGTTTAGTAGGAGGCAGGAACATTACCCCAATCTAGTAGTCCTCATGACTTGATCTTCTGTTGGACACCCCACCCCATATATCCCTGCCTGCAGGTGGTGATGATTTATAGGAGGAGCATTAGTTACGCACAGGATCATACATGGGAGAAAGAGTGTTTCCTCAAGCCACTCATGCCAAGGGCCAGCTGAGCATGAGAAGCTGCCGTATTGAACATATTCTTAGATTACCGCGTGGCCAAAATGTAGACATTTCAGTCTCTCTTCCACTAATGTATCTAATGCAGGGGCAGAAAGCCATGGGCCAAATCTGACCCTACCTGGCCTCTGCAGGCCTTCTCAGCAGTCACCCCAAATCTGTGTGTGTTCATTGGGTGGGAAGAAAGAAGCAATGGCTAGAAAGGAATGCTGCACAGGCCTAACTGCTTTCTTGTCTAAAGATCCTTGTCTCAAATTTGTTTAATGTAATAATAATAATAATAATAATAATAATAATAATAAAATTTTTATTTATACCCCACCCTTCCCGGTTAAGAAAACCGGGCTCTGGGCGGCTAACAACAAATTTAAAACACTTAATTGTAATACAACATAAAAGCAGCATATGATACAGTATAAAAACATGAATAACAATAAAATTCAAAGTTCAAAAATCAATTTGGGTAAAATCCATCCAATAAGCATTAGATAGTCATTAGATATGGACAAGCACAAAATTGATTGAGTTACAAGTGTTGGCAATCCACAGATACAAAATATCTTTCTTAAAGTGACCCATATGGCACAGCAAAAGTAAAACTAAACTTAATCCATGTTCAGATGATATACATGTAAACATTAATACAAACTCATACATAAATGTAAACAATTTGGATCTAAAGTAATGGCAATCCACAGATGCACAATTAAGTACTCAAAATAAACCACTTGGCCCACAGAAGTGAAACAAACTGAGTCCATTCTCAGGTGTTCTACATGTAAACATTAGCACAAATTCACACAAAAAAAAAACTATAATCACTTTCAGTATTCAGACCTGAGGGATGTAAGGAATTGAATATGAAATTAAACCTAGTTTCTTTCTGCATAAGGATTTTTTTTTAGCTTGTTCTACAGGACCTTAATACGTCCAAATTACAAAAAATGTCAAGTTCTCATCGAAATGAAATGCTTCAATAAAGGAGCATCTATTACATTGTTCCTGATCCTAGAAAGGGTGTTCTGATATTCTTACTTTGATAGGTCTGAGAGTATGACCTACATACAACAACCCACAGGGATATCAAATCACGTAAATTACACGTGGAGTAACACATGTGGCAAATGCCTGTAAAATGAACTTAAAGCCTTCTTGGTTGTTAAACTCTTTTACCTGCAGAGCATATTTGCAGGAGGTACAATGCCCACATTTAAACTACGTGGTCCATGGGGTCACGAAGAGTCGGACACGACTAAACAACAACAATCTTAACAGCAGTTATAAGGTTAAGCATCATTTCTTGATCCTTTCCCCTCACCTAAACCTTTAATGAATCAGGAGAATAGACTCCCAGGAGTAAACTCCTGATTAGTTTTTGACTACCCTTTAATTGCCAGGTTCCTACGCTGAATTTTCAATGCTCCTGAGCGGAACATTTCCTATTTTCTTTGAGCCTACCTGCGAACTATTGACCTTCCTATACAGGAGCTTTAAAGCAAAGCACAACCATTATTACAACTCAGGTTTTACAACCAAAAGCCCAGCACAGAATAGCTGAAAGTCCTATTCCATCACACTGGGAAACAAATGCACAGACACAAACCAGAAATATAATTTGAATCATACTTGTTCAGTTTTTCTTAGGACCAAGAGAAGAAATAACCACAATCCATACAAGTGTATCTGTGGTGGATCTTTCTTGTAGTAAATTAGTCACACACGTGTCCCTCGATCTAATATACTTTTAGATGTTGTGTTCCAAAAACCGAAAACTAAGCATACCAGCTTAAGGTCACTGTGCTAAAAGCAAACTTGTTATAACTTTTTCTTACAGTTCAGTATCGAACAGCGACATTACAAATCAGCACGGTCATACAACTGCAAAGCGTATTAAACAAGACAGCATGTTAAGTTATAAAGCTCTAAGAGTCCCTAAATCAACAGGTAAGTATCAAATTACAATTTTCGGTGATTATATCCAAGCTTGAGCAGTAGGTATCTATGGAGGAGGGCCAAGATTATAGGCCGACAATTACCATTTTTCTTAGTCTTTTGCTGTGGTAATTTAGATGTACAGCTGGGTCGATATATTTTAGCTACTCAGTTAAATTGAGTGAAAAAGTTACTCCTTAAGAAACTTAGACAATTCCATGTTTTAATACAGTGGGCCCTTGGGTTGCATTACCTTCGGGTAACGTAACTTTTGGGTTGCGAACACAGCAAACCCGGAAGTGTGTACTTCTGTGCGCAGAAGCGGTGCCTCTAGATGCAGACTTTTCAGGGTACGTAGGGACCCCCAGAACCAATTAAGTTTGTATCCGGAGGGTCAACTGTATAGGGAAAGAGGAGCCAAATAGCCCAAAGGGGATTGACAGTATTCTCAAAATTACATATTCTCCCTTACTTCAGGACTGTATGTACATCTTCCCACTTTAACCTACCCCTACCTGTGACACTAAACAGCCTGGATGTTTTCTAGCAGTTCATCCATCTGTTTGGAAGAGCATAAACCCTGGAGCTGTTTGTTGTCTTCCTCACCGTGCAGTGGCTTGTGGGCAGTTCCCATCATAGCTGTGGCAGAAGGTGGAGCTGCCGAATTCTTCACCACACCCTTCCACAATTTTTCAGTGTCTCATGAGATCCTTCTGGCAGGTTCTTTCCTAGCTTCCGCCACCTCTTTTCTGTGATGTCTCCGCCTCTTTGGTGCTAACCATTATAGCCATGCCCCATATATTTTTGAATCCAGAGCAGTGATAGGCAGGAGCCAGAGGGGCAGTGCCATGCTGCCACTCTCTGACAGTGGTGGCACTGTAGCTTACCGGCACGGGGTAGGGCGGTGGTGAGGTCAAGAGTGGGTGGACTCACCTTCTTATTTAGCAATCACTCGTAGCCAAGTAAGATTGTCTTCCATAAACATGGTTTTAACAATGAGTCCGTAAGTGAGTGTGGAGGCCAATTCTGGATCCACTCGTCCTTCCACAGTGGAGACATTGGTTTCTGGGTGGGAGTTGATCATGGTGTAGATTTGCCAAGCGTGCCTTCCTCTTAGCACGTTTCTCCCTTGTGTCCTGAGTTTGAGTGTCTTCAAAGCCCATGACACCTTTGGTAAAGGCTGTTTTCCAACTGGAGCGCTCGCAGGCCAGTGTTTCCCAATTGCTGGTGTTTATACTACATTTTTTAAAATTTGCCTTTAAACTTCTTTTGTTGACCACCAGCATTACGCTTTCCATTTTTAAGTTCGGACTAGAGTAGTTGCTTTGGAAGACGATAAGCAGGCATCTGTACAACATGTCCAACAAGTTGATGTTGGAGAATCATTGCTTCGGTGCACGGCCCCAGCCACTCCTGCTGGCAGTAAGAGTGACTTCTTTAGACACCTTTTTGTGTGGTGTGGAATGCAGAGGCAGGACATTTCCCTGGACAGCATGGTTATGGCAGGGAAGCCAGTTTTAAATTAGCCAAGGATATCATGAGTTTTGCTGATGTGGGGCTATGCATGCCACTGTCCAGGCTCCACTGCTGAAGAACAGGTTGCCTTTGCGCCTCCATCATGGTTCCAATTGCATCTGTGCATTTACAATGAAAGCTTGATTTGGACAATCTCAGCTCTCTGGCTCACATACTCTAGAGGTCCCCAAACAATTGCCTTTTTGCTACCTCTTGTCCTTTTAACCACCCTTCCTCCAGGCAAAATTAATGTTCTCTTTCTGTTATGCAGCTGTTGAAGTGCTGCACGTAGCGTTCCCCGGAGCTAATAGAAGCCGAATACTGTGTTATCAGTACTTTGCACAATGCTATCTTCGTGTTAATTATTTGTACCAAATGTTAGGTAATAAAGGATACCAGCATCAATTACTGTAATTGTATTGTTAAAGAATCATGCAATTGAATTCCTAATTTAGAAGCTGGGAGCCCATTAGACATGCTTAGAATCTAAAAAAAACACCAAAAAAACCACCCTATCAATATTCCAAGCCACATGCTTGGGCTTGTTCTGTACGCAGGGGTGGGGAACCTCTTTCAGCCTGGGAGCACAGATCCAGAACTGGCCCACTTGCCAGGGGCCGTTTTTGAAAAGTGGGCAGGGTCTCCCACTTGACTGTCATGTGACATCAGGTGATTAAAATGTCAGGCTTCAAAGGGAACAGGCAAAGTAGCACAGTGCCAGGATCAGGAATCAGCCTCTTCTGTTGCCTTTTACTGTTGAGCAAACACTTCTCTTTGAACCTTAGTACTATGGTGCTTGATGCTGATGTCAGATATAAGAAATCCCTTATCCGAACTTATTGCTTCAGTCTGAGAAAGGTGTGACCCGAACAATTCATTAGGTGGAGCTGAGCCTCATATTAGTTCTGTGTGGTAAGCTTTGAAAACTTTCTGAGCCACAGGATACTACAAGTTATTGCTTGTCTAAGACACTGATTAGCCATTCACGGCTCTCTGAGTGGCTTATGGAGTAAAACAAAAATACAGTAAGTAAAACAATAAACGCTATGTTAGCAGCATTTTTCAGACACTTATCAGATGCAGCCAGCATTTATAGCAATATTAAAAAATGAGAAGTTAACAGTTCAAGCATATAGTTAATGTCATTTAAAATAATAATAATAATAATAATAATAATAATAGCAACGATGATGATATAGTAATAGTAGTCCTACGTCTGCCCTGTTCTGTTAACCTTAACATTTAGGGAAATAATAAACATAATCAAAGCAGTAGTATCTCTGTCTCTCTTTAACATGGCTATTTTTTTGTTCCATAGAAACTAGAACAAGAAGCTGGAAGCAAAATGAAGTGCTAAGAAAACGTGTCAGAAACAACGGCAAGGAAAATGCAACCTTAGACACGAAACTCAAGACATCCAAAAAAGCATTTTAAATTACCTACGTTGAAATAAATCCTTGCTTTATACAGATTTTAATTTATTAGCAAGACAGGAAAGGTGAACTTTCCATCTGCCCTCTGCACTGTTTCTCACTTACCTGTGGTAGTAGTTATTCATTATACTTTACAAAACATGTATTTTTCGAACGCTCGCATCTGTGCTTTGGTGCATCCTTCTCTTGCTCTTAACATGTAATTGGAAGCTGCATTGTACTTCACAAATGGCTGCTTTTGACATCTCTGCCCTTCGCCATATTTCAGTGAAATAATCTCTTGCAATTAGAATACAGTCAGAAAGATGGGTGGGGCTCCTCCTTAGCCTGTTTAGCTGGTACATAGTTGGTACATGAAGCAGCATAAAGTTTAAGAAAGAAATGTTACAAGATTCCCCTCTTCCTGCTAATGCAGCTCTTCATAAATGACAGGTGGCATTGAGCGCTCATCCCTGCATGCCTGCCCAATGCAGGGTGCAAACACCTTACATACTGTGGACCTTTGAAGAAACAGCTCTACTGTATTCCAGCGAGGAAGGTTCAAAACGGATCTTAAGCGATGCGCCTTAATGTCTTTTGCCTCGCATTGCTGGCTAACTACAGTGCATGCATCATAATGCTTGCTTGTGCCTGGTATGGAGGCAGTGGACTCAGGAATATTGTATGACCTTCCCTGTGCTGAATTTGGAGTAGGGGTGGAATGTATCCATGGATTTCATGACTCATTGGGACTCGTAGGGAATGAATGTAAGTACTTTAGTTTTTAAAAATTTACCTAATAAGCCAATATACTTGTGGTCCTCCAAGTCCTGTTGGGCTCCAACTCCCATCAGCCCCAGCCAGCATAGTCAGTGGCCTAGGGATGATGGAAGCTGTAGTTTAGCAGCTTCTGGAGGAACAAAGGTTTCCCACCATTGGTTTTTTAGGTGCTCTTTTAGTGAAATTCCTGCACATGGCAACATTTCCTTTTTCAAACTGGTGTTTGAAACTAAACCTTCTAACAACTTGAATGTAAAAATGTCCTTGTATTTTTAGTCTGTATCTGTGTGTCTTAGATTAACTCTTGTGTTGCTTGTGAATTAAATTTTTTTTTGTAAAACCAAAGTCTTTGTCACACACCTGTTCCCCCTTTGAAACTCTCTGGCTCTTACAATTAGTTTGCTTTACTCATAGGTTGATATGACGTATGTGGCATACTGCTCCTAGGGATTAAAAAGTCCTTGATTTTAATGGAAGCATGTTAATGCCCAGCTCCGCAGAAAGGATCCAGAAACTTTCCAGAATCTGTCCCCTTTCCACCATCATCTATTTCTGTATTTTCTTGTGGTGGCAGTGGCAAGGGTAACATTGCCCTCCAGCCAAGAACTTTGTGAACAGCAATAACAAAATTTATACAGAACCACTCCTAAAATTCGTACTGAGTACTGCACAGAACTTTCAACTATGCTGAAGTCTGCCTTTTTCCCAAAGTTCTAACATGGTTAATACATTTCCACTCCTTTAAATAAAAACTAACAGTAAAGAATAATTAAGACAGACTAGATCAGGGGTAGGGAAATCGGCCCTCCAGTTGTTGTTGGGCTGTATCTCCCCTCAGCCTGTGTCACCTTGGCCCTGCAAAAACCACACATTCCCCATCACTGCTGTAAATTTGCATAAGATTAAGACTGATTATTTTAAAGGGCCTGATATCAAAAAGAGAAGAGTGCTGGGCAAGGCAGCTACAGAGCATGTTCAGGGTACCACCAGAAGGCCCTGCCATTGCTTCCAACTGCACCTCAGATACGTGGAGCTTGAGGGACAGAGTGACCTTTGATGATTATCCTAACTAACAAGGAGGCTGATATGGACTCGGGCAGCCCTTCAGATACATTAGTTCTAGGCCATGCAGGACTTTCGAGGAAAACACCGCCACTTTGATTTGAGCCAGGAGACAGCACAGCTTTTAAAACACTGGTGAGATGTGATGGCAACACCTAGTCCCTGTTGGCAGCCTTGTGGCAGTATTCTGACAGCCTGAAAGGACAGCCCCACATATTTGCATTGCAGTAATCTGGTTCCAAAATGGGTATGGAGCCTTTGTGGATTCAAGAGGCTCACTGCTAGATGGTTGCCTTCCATGAGAAGATGACAAAAATAAGAACGGGACTAAAGTGCTTATCCCAACACTTCCCTCCTTGTGTGTTCACTCTGTTTTCATAATGCCTGAAGATGGCTTTAGAAAACTTAATAAGTTTCTTAAGAGTCATGAGCAAAATCTGGGGAATTGCTTGCAGATCCAAGTGGAATGGTTTTTGCTAAAGTAAAGGATTGATCTTGGTACTCAAATGTTTTACATTTTCCATGGGTTAAACAAATATGTGATACTCCTGGTATGTGAGTGGTAGGACAAATCTGTTCCCACTTTTTCTGAGTGGAGGATATGATGGGGGACCTCGCCGTGTATGAATATGGCGCTTGGAGAGCACAAGATGGATACACAAACTGTTAAAGAACTGCATATTATTTCATTACAAAGAATTGCTCAATAATGAAAACAATTCTCAACACAGTTGTAGCATGCACTACTCAGGAAGCAAAGTGGACTGACATCTTGCTCCAGCCTTTACACTGACATCAAGGAGAGTGCCACCATTTTCCCACTTATTTATATCTCAGTAGGTAATGATACCTTATTAACAAACGAAGAAGTTAAATGGGCATATCAGTGCACCCATGGAGATTCCCAATTACACTGTAATTGTCCTAATGAAGAGCAAAGCAGCACAGAACCAAGTGGCTTGACACTTATGTCAACTAGGCTGCAGTTTCTGACTCCTCAAAGCAAAGCTCACCAGAAAACATGGTGTCAATTTACACTTATAAATAAAATTTCATCTCTTAAACATTGCACTAGTTTAAGCATTTTTCAGGGCAAAATGCTTAGTCCAATATGGTAGGAGATTCCCAAATCAAACCATGCACCTGATTGCTGTAAAACTAGCTGCTTAAAGTACATCTGTGAGAATGATGGTACACATGCAAAACGAAGTCTCACTAGTGGAAAACATCTCTATATACAAAAGAGATTATTCAGTTCTTGTGACATCCTACCCAATATGCATGAGAATGAAAAAGTTCAGCCTTGAAAGTTAATGTGCAAAAGGGAGCACAATACTAGTTGGAAAGGTGTTTGCATAGTTATTTGACAGGATGAGACATTTTGATTGCATACAAAAATGGGGACACTTAAGTGGCTTCCATCTACATCTCAGCCCCTATGCGCTCTTGTCATTGTACATGATGAGCATGCCACATGGACATGGAGGCAGGATGACTCAGTTTCGGCAATGTAGCACAAATCTTATGCAAGCATTTCCCCCCATCAACAATAACAACTTTATTTTTGCCACAAGGTCATTAGAGACAACTTATTCCTTTGTGACTAACTTCATTCAGAGAGCTTCAATGAAATATTGTAAAGGGAAGTAACATTGTGAAGGTGGAGTAGGAGGGTTAGAATTCAAAGCAAATGTTGCAAGAATGCTATTGACAAAAAACCAAGATGCTTTTGTGGAAAGGGAGTAGCAGGTGCTTTAGAAAACTATTCATTGAAAAATATCCTTGAAAACGGAATATGAACAAGATTTCTCAGAAGTGACAATCATTTCATTATTTTAATATAAATATTGAGTTTTGTTTAATAACATTAACCTGGAAGCTCTGTTCCCTCCCCTCACCCCCTGCAAAGACAAACCACAGGAAAATTCAGTTATACAACCTGAATAAACTATACAGATTTGTATATATTGATTGCGGGGTTTTTTATTGGTGATTCTGAAGGGCAAGCAGCTGTGTGTGATCCTGGCCAGTTTCTCAGATTTCAGCAGTCATTGCCTCAATATTTTCAGGTCTCTCTTTGCAGCCATAAAGGTTGGAGCCTTGCTTTTAAAAACGAAATGAAAGTTCAGCTTCTCTGAGGATTATTCTGCAGCTGGTTCCATGCTAGCACAGAATTGTTTCAGAATCACAGAATGTCCGCAGCCCTGGTCATAACCAAGAGAAGGCATTTGTGACCAATTAGTTAAATGGAATTTATTAAGCATTTTAAGTTCTGGAGGATCTCTTAGATACAGAGCAAGCATTATTGAAGGAAACATGACGAACTTTGATGTATTTAAGAGACGTGCTTCCTAAGCCCCCTTACAGCCGGCTACCATAAGTAAGCTGGGAAAGTATGATCTATTAAGACTGTTCTCAATAACTGCTGCAATAAACAAAAAATGGACTCTTATTTAATGTTTGACATCTGTATTTAAAGCTGCACACTTTCAATGGCAAGATTTAAAAGCTTTTACAAAGTGTAAACACATTTTTGCTGTTGATATATTTCACGGACCTTTACAAGGCAGCCCGCTTTACAGCACGTTCCAAGAACTAGCTGATACAGAAATGTTAAAAATGTAATGAATTCTTTACTTTAATGCCAATGTCCTTTTTCTTCCTCTTCACAAAGAGAGAGAGAGAAAGTAGCATTTGGAGGAGGAAAAAATATAGTACACAGATTTACATTTGTGCATGTTAACAGGTCATCTCTGAGTTCATTAGGCAACTGCATAGCGGAAACAAAGAATACACACTTTTGGCTGTGTGAGCAAGGATGGATGTGAGGTGTGCAATGCAACTTGGCACTGAATTATGAAGAAATGTGTTTTTAAATTAATAAATAGTACTTTTCAGACCTCGGAATATCAGGAAAAGGTTTGATCAGTGCAAAAGGCTTGTTTACCAAGAAAGGCCATGGTTCATGGATGTAAAAGGAAATTTGGAAGCAGCAACCATTTGGGGGGGAATTTTTCCACCGGGAATGAAGGATGCTGAGTTCTTTGCATGAGGTATGCTACCTGGAAGCGTCATGATTGTCTACTGAGCACAGTGGTCAGTGCACAAAATCATATTAGGACAATAACTTTATCAGGTCGACCAAAATGTTATCTCGACACTTTATCAGGACACATGGTAAAGAAAATAAACAGCGGGATGGAGAGAGAAATTGGCTGGTGTTAAAGAAATTGGCTGGTGTTAAAGCGTCTGCATCTGGTAAGAAGACGAAAAGGAGAAATTCAAATGAGGCTCTGTGGGTGTTATGCAGGCGTCAGGGTAGTCAAGGTCTCCTGGGAGGAAGAAACCCATAAACATCGCACCACTTCACATTCCCCTTATAGCTGTGAACACTCCATGATGTCGCAGCAGCTCAGCCAGGGACTGGAGAAGGCTTCCAACCAACTGGCAAGGAGGAGGTGATCAGCAATTGCAAGTATTGAGGTCCAGAGCATATATCTATGGACATACTTCCCATGCTCTGCAGCATTTGGTTTTCTCCAAGCTAAAGGATTATTTTCAGTGGCTTTGCAGCCAACACATTCCTCTTTCACTGCCCTTGACCATAAACCACTCTTTTGCAAAATACCTAGTTTACAGAAGTTATGCATATTTGCTCAGTTTATTCTAAAGATAGACTCTTTGCTTCTGTCTTTTGTTAGATGTATTTGCATAGGTGAACAACTGTGACACATATACACTTAATCACTTTTAGCAGCATGTACCAAGGTTACATGGGACGAAATGTGAAGTGTATGACAATTACCTGGAATCTTCTAATGTCTTCTTTTCTTTTGGAGATGGTAGAATAAATAGCCCTATGCTGGTCTCAGGTAGTTTTGATTATAATGCCGTACCTACCTGAACGTTCATGGGTAATGAGTGACTCATCTTTCTTAGCTGTGTGAGAAGAAAGTACAGCAAAGTGTTCTAATGTGTGGGTTGCTGGTGTGTTAGCCAATCTGATCTTTGCAGATCTGGCATTTGCATTGACTATTGAAAGATATTTGACTTCTGAACTTCAGCTGCAAGTCCTAGATTAGAATTCCTGGAATTCCAGACTGGAGCTTGCTTAGCATCTCTCACACAGAATTCTTATTAAGTTCAAGCCATTTGTGAAATGAAGGCTCAATGACTTTCATGAGAAAAGTCACTAGTCTGTTAACCACTATTGGATTTGTAGCTCTGTGAGAAGAATAGGAACCTTCTCTACCGTAGCTCCCCATCTATGGAATGCTCTCCCG